TATAATCAACTGGACATTAAATGTGCTATATTGCTTCAGTTTCGTTTAAATTGTTGATTTCACTACCGTTACGTGCTATGTAAATACCGTTACGTTAAATCATTACCGTCACGTATGATATTTTCACTTACAAATTAAATTTCAGATGCACTTATTACATAGTTTAAAGCGTTTATATTGCAAATGATTGGATTAATATGTTTTAATTTGATTTATTCTCGAAAGAGACTACTTGGTGTGTTGACAGAAAAAATCTTCCACCACCTTTTTTGCTGAATTTATAATTTTGATAAGTTCATCATGCCCCATAGACTGCAGAATAATATTAGATATATCTCGTCATTTATTTACAATTTTGTGTCTTTAGAATTAATGTTTTTTAAAAACTAATTCTTTATAATGCAATTTGAACATGATTTATTTATTATTTTTTGTTGCGTAACGGTAATGATTTTTTGTATTGACACTTGTTCAAAAAAGGATTTAATCCATTTAAAATGTTTATTTTCAATACAAATTACATTACTGATTTCAAAGTAAAATGTGTTTTCTTGTTAATCATTCCACAATTGAAATAAAGAAGGATACATGTCAAGATGGCAACTCCTTGGGAGATTTTGTACGTTTTTTGTATATTGACCGACGGTCGATACCCAACGTGCATAATTTTACCCTAAATTATGTATGTTTTTTTCGGTACAAGTCAACCCGGCCCCAAGTCAACCCGGCCCCAAATTGGTCAACCTGGCCCAAACCAATGTTATTTCTGGTCAACCCGGCCCCATTTTTTATTATTTATTTTGCTTTAAAATGTAAACACTTCTCAAGAAATAAAATAAAAATTAACAACAAAAACAATATCAAAAGTTTAACGATGATATCTTTTATTATTTATTTTATATAAAAACTAGCAATATTAACAAACAAGCAACACATGCATATTAAGAAAAAACTAAACTTTCTTATTGACATATCATGGAAAAGAAACCTTAATGTGTTCAAATCATTACTATGTTATTGTATGTTAAAAAGAAGAAAAAAAATAAAAGAAATTACCAAAAGCACACTAAGTAAGTGTTTCTATTAACAGTTTTTAAGTAAGATTAATTATAATGATGCTGCCATCTATCACAGGTATCGCAGGTCACTGCTTCCTGTCTGTCACGCACAATATATCCACAATCAATACAGTTATCAGTCATAATGACATACATGTAAAGTGATTTAACACAAAACACTATCATTTATTCAAACACTTAGTAATATACCAATACTTTTTTTACACAGTAAATATTCTTTGCAAATAAGTTAATAAAAAACTAAACAAATATTAATTATACTGATGAACGTATTCAATAGAAACATTTAAATGAACTGAAAAAGATTGTTGGAAACTTAATTTATACAAACCTTTTAACTCGAAATTCTGTGCATTTCTTCCAAATTATCGCATTAACACTCACGAAACATCTTTAATTTACATCGAATCACGGATTTATATATGTAAAAGTGATCGAATAAAGACATAAAAGATACTAGCAACTTATTTAAAGGATTTGTTTTTCACAGCTGTATACCTTTTTGTTAATTGATTGCTTTAAACTGTTTGATTATCACATCTGAAATAATGTTGATGTAGATCTACATATAATTGTTGGTGTTATATAATTATTCATTATCACTATTGCGTATTAATGTCTTAATCGGCGCAATTAAATTTACCAACACTTTTATGCCAGTTCATGTTTTTCTTTTTACTTTTGTTCTATAGTTAATGATATTACATTAATAATTAATCATTTTTATTCCATCATACAACAAAATGTCCTGAATAGTTTTCTTTGAAAATATATATTTTGGGGCCGGAATGACCGATTTTGGGGCCGGGTTGACCAATTTTGGGGCCGCATTGACCAAAAAAAATTACTGTGGGGCCGGTTTGACCAATTTTGGGGCCGGGTTGACCAATTTTGAGGCCGGGTTGACTTGGGGCCGGGTTAACTTAGGGCCGGGTTTTAGAAAAAATGATAGAGTTAAATTTTAATGAAAAACTTCAAAAAGTTAAAAATAGTATAGGATACTGGAAAAAAAGAATGTTAACACCTATAGGAAAAATTACTGTTGTTAAGTCATTACTCCTTCCTTTATTCACTCATTGCTTTACAAGTTTACCAACACCTAATTCAAAATTTTTGAAAACACTTAATGACTTATTTTATCAATTTATATGGGAAGGTAAAGCAAAGATAAAGCAATCAGTAGTTATTAAAACATATCAGGAAGGTGGTCTAAATATGATTGATATTGATAGTTATATACATTCTGTAAAGATAAAATGGTTTAAAAGGTATGTTAGTAATAGTAACAGTAAATGTTATAAGCTAGTGATGGCTTTATTCAATATTGATAAAGTGTTTAGCACAGGTAAATTGTTTTGTAAATTGACAATTGATAAAATTAAAAATGCTTTTTGGATAGATGTTTTAAAAGCTTATATGATTTTTACAGATAAACTTTGTATAGACAGTTTAGAACAAGTGTTACAAATGCCATTGTTTTACAATCATAACTTGTTAGCAGGAAATAGATACTTTTATATCAAAATTTTTTATGAAAAAGGAATCAGATTTGTTAATGATATTATTAATCCCCAAGGCGATTTTGTAGATTTAACTTACTTAGAGCAGGTGACACAAAAACAAGTAAATTTTTTACAATATCATAGTTTGAAAAAAGCAATATTATTATATACACAAAAGCTTAACATTTCTATTTGTAAAGATTTTATTAATGTTCAATACCCAATTATGAGTTGTTATATAAAACCTATTTTAATTACACAAAATATCAAAAAGAAATATGTTTATGAAATTCTAGTTAGAAATCAAGATGTACCAACATGTCAAGAAAAATGGAACTCATTTTTTACAAATTTTGATATAAATTGGAATTTAATATATAGTTATGTATTTAAATGTACCAAAGATTCCTATATTCAGTGGTTTCAGACAAGAATAATTCATAGAACTTTAGCAACCAACTCACTTTTATTCAAAATGAAAATTGTCAATAGTAAAATGTGTATTTTTTGCAATTGCCAAGAGGAAACTCTGTTGCATTTATTTTGGGAATGTCCAAAAATTCAATTGTTATTTCAATATCTGAAAGACAAGATAGATAATTTGGATGATAATTTTAATTGTAAATCATTTATTTTAGGTTCTGAAGTTAATGATTTTAAATATGATATTTTGTTTTTAGAATTGAAAAGATATATTTATTTGTCAAAGAGAAAAATCGTGTTACCTACAATACCTGGTTTTAAAAATAGTCTTAAATTGGCGTGGAATATTTACAAAAATACAAATTTGACCAAACATGTAAATGAAGGATGGCAAATTGTAAGAACTTTAATAAACTAATAGGCTACACTAAATCAATTTACCCCAAACCAATATTTTTTGTTTGTTTTGAAGCTGTTGCATAATACATTATCATACATAATTGTTATACATATTATATGAAAATTGATTGAATGTTTGAATATAATGTATATTATAATTATATAAAAAAAAACAAAAAAAAACTTAGGGCCGGGTTGACTGTTATCTCCCTTTTATAATTATAATGGAAAACGACACTGTTCCCAACCAAAATGAACAGTAGTTTTCACATTTTCTGACATTTGAAAAATTTTACTATAATTTAATAAAAAAAAAACTACTGTCAGATATTTTACTGACAGGGTAAAGAAAATTATTATGCCCATCTTAAGTTTTCTTGGAAATTCGGTCCACACCAGTCAATAAGGTTCCATTTACCTAATCAGTATGTGTGTGACAGTCGGCATTGGCTATAACAATAGTTGATCTCCTCATAGAGTGATAGTTTTTAAAGAAGGTGATGTGCATTCCTGTTTCACACCTTGTTAACAGCTGCCGTCAATTGCTGGACTGTTTGCAACAGATTTTGAAATGTACATTAATGTTGACTCATATAGGTTATAATAACAATGTGTGTTCTACTGGGTTGCACTGTGACGAACATGCTGGCCAGCGAGGAACATTATTTTATGTTATTGTGTTGCAGGTGATCCAAAGTGATGCATGTGGCATGTTGTGTAGCATTATTGTGCTGCATTGTCGGTCCCTAACATTGTTGGAACATTGAACTATGAAAGAATCTAAAATTTGATCAATATATCATCTTACTTTTATATAACCTTAGCAAACCAATAAACCTTCTTTGATTGATTGACACCATTATACAGTTAAATGTATCATGCATTTGACATCTGTAGACACTCATGTTACATGCATTGCATAAATTAAATTGTTACTTGTCTGTGACTCTAAGATTGGTGTTATTGGAATAAGTAGTAGTAGTTAGGAGTCCTAAGAAGATGTTGACAGTGATGTCTGTTTAGAATGACACAATGTTATGGTCAGTAACATTGTTAGCTTAAGGTCTTCAGCGTACCCATTTATATACTATGACATGACGTGAACGCTGAAGATAACCCCGTAGGGAAAGTCCACAAATAATCGTGCCAGGAATCTGACACGCTCGTATTCATTCATCGAACATGCCATGAAGTAAAGTGAAGCATACCTTGATAAAACTATATATTATCTGTTGATAAGCCAAGGATGGACAAATAAAAATCTTATTACGGACATAAACTACCTAATAGTTTCCGACAGGTAAAAAATTCGGCACTTGGCCGCCATATTGCCAAAATGTTTGACCACGTGATAACGAGATTGACCTTTACGAACCCATGTGCAAATATCCATCTTTACGTTGATTCCAAAGGGGGCAAATGTCTAATGATTCACTTTTAGAGTGTAGGTAAATGTCCTGGAGGTCAAATGTTGTTTTATCACCGATAGTATATTATAAATCAGCCTTATGTGCCACTTGGCATGAAGAGGATAGTTAGTTAGTTAGTATATTATAAAACTTTAAAGTATAATATCAATGTAATGTTTCACTTGCAGACAAACATGGATTTTAATGATGATGCTCCAGCAGAAGAAATTCCAAGTGGTGGAGAAGAGGTAAATGTGTACATAAATTAATTTGTAATTGATTAAACTTACCTACAGTGACTACAGTTTTATTTTAAGGACGTTATATATTCTATTTACAACATGCCAAGTATAAAGAAATTCTGTTTAATAGTTAAATTTTTGCCAATATGTCTGTATGAAAACTCCCAAAAACGTCTTTTAGATCTTCCATGACCTAGTGGTTAAGTAGGCATAGTTCTAATCTCTCTCAGTATTGAAAGAAGATTTGAGCCGCGTCACGACAAAACAATTAGTGCGTTTACGACCAGCATGGGTCCAGACCAGCTGCGCATCAGCACAGTCTGATCAGGATCCATGCTGTTCGCTATCAGTTTCTCTACTTGTAATAGAGTTGGTAAGCGAACAGCATGGATCCATGCTGGTCGCAAACGCACTATGTTGGTTTTGTCGTGAGGCGGCTCAATTATTTTGTAGTTTGACATTTACAGAGAAATTGGTAATTACTGGTTTGTTACCCAGGAAATCAAGTTAGGTTGACGGACAGCCAAAATATGACTTAAAAGATGGGAGGAAACATTTCTGATAAAAATTCAGTGCAGCTTTGTATGATGAAAAGAATCATTCACTTGTAAAGTATTTTTGTGTTCATTATGCATATTGTGAGTGTATTTTATAAATATTTTACAGGACATAACAGATGACCGAAGACACAACCAATTATTGGACGCGCTCTCTTCTCTGGATGGCAAGAAAAGGTAACTGGTCATACCTTGATGTTTCTTTTTCTTACATGGTAACATTCTATACATGTGAACCATGTTAACACCTTGAGATTTGAAACTTTCTTATGACCTCACTAAGGTGATTTATCTATCTGTACATACTTAGTTGTTATCTTTTAATCAGGGTTTTCATTATGAACAGATTGACGATCCATATAACTGGTTAAAATAGGTTTTATTTCAGCCTGTAGATTTAAATACCCCCCTTGACCACATTGGTTGTTTTTGTTGGCACATATGTTACCTCACATAAAAATGAAAACCCTGCCTTGTTTGATCAATTCAAAACAAATAAAGCTTTGTTTATGTTACTTGATAGGGACATTGACAATGGCCAGTAGATTACAAATATGTGATTTTAATGTCATTTATATATTTCCAGGTCACAGCAGCACTGTGTTATATCCTTGTTCGGTTAATAACTTTAGAAGTAATAAGCTTTGATTTAGTTAAGGCAAATTGATGACCCTTAAGGATTTTGAGGTTATTAGGTCAAAGGTTAAAGTCAAAAGTCTGCTTGTTAGCTTGAAAAGAAATAAACTTAAGATTGTTAAATTTGGTAGGGACATTACCAAGGTCTTAAGGTAAAGGTTACAGTGACACTTGAAATCTTTGTCTAATTATTAAAGAGAGTTTCCTAAGTGATAGGTTTGTGAAATTTAATAGTTATAATGCCATTATAATACCCCAACCAAAACATAGTTTGTTGGGTGGGGGCTATATAGGAATCATTCCATCCAATCGCATTTCATGATCATCTCAGGAATAGGTTTCGCCTCGGTCAATATTAATACTTGTTATTAATCTTATTCTTATTTAATGTTTAATAATCAAAGAGGTTAGTTAAATTTCTTGTTAAATACCTTGTTTGTTTATAAAGGTGAAATATGTCATGTTTTATTGTGATTTCAGAAACAAACTTTCACAGAGGACAGTGATCAGCAATCAAGTCTCAGAATTCAACTTCTCCTCCAGTAAAGGTAAACATATACACTGTAGATTTATTTATTCTCAATGTTTACTTTTGCATGTATGACAAACCGTTGCAGTATGAAAACCAGTTCAAGTCATAGTTAATTACTGGGTTATGTGGCAGATAAAATTTTGTTGGTGTTTTCGGTGAAACCATGTGTGGTAAACAAAATGAAACCATTGTGAATCTCAATTTCATTACAAAAAAATTACAAGCTTGATAATATCAACTTAAAGGCTGAAAAGTAACCAACACAGCATGGTACTTGCTCTTTGCTTGTTGTTTGCTGCTTGACTTAACAAACATTGTGTCACATTATATAAGTAAATTGTGTTGTTACAGACAAAACCAGTGTTGTCAAACTTCATGAGTTGGTTGGTTCCCTAAAGGAGAGTACAAGTCATGGAGAACTGAAGAACCAGCTGAGAAATGTTTCCAAGAGTAAAAAAACTGTGTCCACTCCTCTACCAAAACACGAGAAAGAAAAGGTAACTCAAAGTAGTACTTACATACTAATTCATTATTTTGTAAGACATCAGTGGTCCAGCTTTAATTTTCAATTGCCTCCTTTAGAAAGGAAATATTGTGAGTTAGAATTGAGTTATAAGAATTGTTTACATTGATGTTTGATAGTTTTGTTATAAACTGATTGATATCATTGTTATTAAACAGTATGTTAGCACATTGAAAATTACAAACCTATATTGTACAAGATTTTGTGTGTGACATGACCTAAGATTAAATGAAATTGTGTCAACTTTAACATTACCTAAAGTTAATTTGATAACACTGTTGTCGGTTAAAATTGACAGTAACACTGTTGTTTAATGAGACTGACAATTACAATATTATTTATTTAGATTGACAGAGCAACAGCCTATGAGACAACATCTGGAGAAATATCAAAGTGGGATCCTATTGTTAGAAAAAACAGGAAGGTATGTATAGTCTTTGTTTAGTTTTTCAAACGTTGTCTGGGAAATGTGTGTACTCACCTATATGTCATAATATGTGATGAAATTGTAAAATGTCTACTAAGCTACTTGTGAAGGATGTTAAATAAAAGTGTAGGGGTAAAGATATGTTGTTAATATTTCAAAAAAATAATAAAGATATGAATTCTTTAAACAATCATCATGGCTACTGAAGTGAAGAAGATTTTCATCTCTATTTTGATTAATAATAATAAAAAAGCATTTTAAGACTAATAACTTAGACAAGAGTGTATTATTAAACCATCAACTTTAGAACATATGTTTACATTCTGTACCATTTTTGTCACAAACATTTTACAGGCAGACCAGATACAGTTCCCTCTGGAGAAACCAGATTTTAAGATTGTTACAACAGACCAGCTTGTGAAAAGATTTCAGGTATTCTTATCTCTGTGATTTATGTCTAATAAATAAAAAATAATGTTTAATAGATAAAAAAGAAAGTTTTTGTTTGCTGTACAAAAAATAAAAATTACACATATGTATAGATAAATAAAGTTTGATATAGTAAGTGATGTGCAGAAAGTGATTGTACAATGTACTGTATTTTATTACATACTTTTCGGTGGTTTATAGAAATATATCAGTGATATAAAACTGATATTTTCAACGTTTTAAACAATTTGATAATTTCACTGTTTTGAATTAAAGCCCCTTTTGTTGTTTCAGTGAAATACCAGCGCGCACAGTACTGGAAACCAACTTACGATGTGACGTTGTAAATGATGCATGTTGTATTATTATTTTGCGCGCTTTTCATTTAGTATTAGGTTAAATGTCTTTTTTAAAATGTTTCTTTGCATATAATAAACAGAAAATTTGTTTAGTTTAGTGTAAGATCAAAATATATTTCACCTTGTGAACACCAAAAGTTCATATATCACTCACTCGTGAAATATACCTTTTGGTGCTCACTCGGTGAAATATATTCCGATCTTACACTGAACTAAACAAATATCCTCTATATAATATTACAGCCTCGTACACCACTAGAGAGACAGGTTGCGGAGTTATTACAGGGTAGTGAGAATGTTATACGTGATAAAGGACAGGAACTGACACCAGCTGAACAGAAAGCTCTACAGGCAATGGATGTTAATGAGGTATATATCATTATAATTTATATACTGTACGTTTATAGTGTGGTTTATTTTTCACATTGTTTACTCTTTCTTAATTTAGTATGTATTGTTTATCTGGTCAGATTGGCAGAAAATCTATGTATTCATATCATAATTACAAAATATATATAATCATGTATACAGTGGCAAGTCATATCCTGTGTGTATTTGAATTTATTTATACTTGCCACCTGTTGTCCATATGGTCGAGTCCTCGAAAGAGTACCGGTATTAGTCATGTAATATTTTGAAGGATATTGCAAGATACAGATATAGAAAGATGCCGGAATTCCAGAAAATTCTCCTGGTTCTTTAACATACACAGGACTTTGATTTAAAGTCTCATCCAAAAGACTGATACGTAATTTTAGTTGGCCAGCCAGGGAATGTTGAGATTACAAGACTCATGCTCTAACCTATTGAGCTTTGCCGGCTGGCATTTCTATCATCTCATGTACAATGTTATATATAGAGGATCTCCTTGGTTGAGTAGTAAAGATGGTGTACTTGGAATTATATTCCCCTCTCCACCTTGACAGACTTGTATTCTTTTATGTGATGAAGCAGGTAGTTTACTGTAGGTAGGTGGTTCTACTTAGGTGCCAGCGTGTGATTGTAATTTAACTTGAAGTGGCATCTTAGCTCGTGTTCCTAATGTTCATCTGAAAAGTAGTCATGTGACCTGTGAAATGTTGGTGTGACTTGGAAAAAATGGCAACCAAAATATTTATAAAATGATGTATAGAATATGATATTATCCATAATACAGCTTTTGTTTATGCTGTGTATCATAAAAAATCTCAAGAAGGATATGTTACATCGTATTATATGTTTGACAGGCTAAAGAACGAAGAATTGAGCTGATGAAATATCGTGCTTTGTTATCATACAAGGAGGCAAAAGCTAAAAGACAGAAGAAAATCAAAAGTAAAAGGTCAGTCTTAAATTTGAAAATTTCTTTGTATTGTTGAAAGGAAAGAGAAAATCTTAAAATTTTGCCTTTACAAGTAAATGTTATGACAACATAAACACTTCCTATGGTGTTTGTCTTTTCTTATTATCACACTTAATGAAGCTACAATATATGGAGGATATTCAAGTTTTTTCTATAAATACTGGATTAATTTTCATAGAGTGGTGTGAAAATATGATAATTTTCATACCAGAAGATGAAAATAAGAAAAACTTGAATTTTCTGTTTAACCCATTACTTCATGAGCATTTTGTGAAAAATGGCTGTTTTCATTGAAAAGTCTCCCGTTACAAGTTCAAATTGCTATAATACTATAAAAACTGCTTCAACACTAATCAAACTTGGCACAAATGTTGACTGGACCATTGCCCTTCCAACAACATGCTCAGGCTTAAATTTTCTGTTACCATGGCAGCGAGGGGACATCTCAAAATTGCCAAAAATCACTATTTTGCGTTGATTTTTTCCATCAAAATTGATTTCAAAGTGCTGCAACTTCTCAATGGATTGAGATAGAGTCAAATGCTTTTCAGCGTTGGTTACACGTTACCTTATGATCAATCTGGGGTCATTTATAGCCTCTCACAAGTCCAAAATTTTCTTGGCGATGAGGGGGACTCCGCCCCCCTTCAAAACCCCCAAACAGAAGGGGGTACATCCCCCTTCTGGCAACCCCCTGATGTGTCTTTTGGTTGGGGGCCGCGCCGAAAAAGAGGTCACTTTTTTTAACAACATTTCTCAAACAAAAACAAGTGTTTGGGCCTAAATAAGGCATTTTTTCACCATTTGAGACAACAAAAAGGGGGGGGGGGGTAAAAAAGGCGTTAAAAGGCGTGTATATAACGTAATGGGTTAAGTTATACTTCTTTGACCTTACAATTTGTAACTTGTTTAATTCTGTTATGTGAAAATTATTTAGGTATCACCGTGTATTAAAGAAAGAGAAATTGAAAAATGAAAAGAAACAATTAGAAAAATTACAAGAGGAAGATCCAGAAAGTTACTTGGACAAACTGAATCAGTTAGAGAGAGATAGAGCTCAGGAGAGAGTTAGTCTAAAACACAGAGGTGGAAGCAAGTTTGCTAAACGTCAGATGATCTATGCCAAGTTTGATGATAAAGTAAGCAATGTTTATATGTAAATGAAGGTACCTATTATTACCAGAGGTTTATTATCAACTTGATTTATTTGGAAAATATTAGGCTGCAATATTTTATGAAATGGTTTTGTTTACTTATTGTTTTTATATAAAATTAATGATTGATATTGACAGTATAAATCACTTACAAGTTTGTATACTTCTGTAACGATTCAAGTTGAAATAAATGAAATTTGTGTCTTTATTTATAATTAAGGCAAGGCAAGAAGTTCAGGACATGTTACAGAAAAGCAGGGCATTAACAAAGAAAGTTGACGTAGAATCTGACTCAGAAGAAGAGCAGTTATTTCCAGATAGTGGCGTATCCATGGACAACACAGAGGTAGATGATGGCGCTAATAATCCCTGGATGGCTAGACCGAACAGTGGAAAGTCTGGTAGCAGTTACTCCCGACCACAAACTGTCAATGCGAATGATTCTGAGGGTGAAAATGAGAAGTCTGAGTATTCGAGACCGAAGGAAGTTATTAATGTTAAAGATAATGGTGATGATGAAGATGATGATGATGATGATGTTCTTGTTATTGATGAAAAAGAGGGAGAGGAAAAGGATAATGAAACTGGTGACAACAATAAAGCTGTTTCTAGTGAAGAGGAAGAAGTTGTAATAATGAAGAGCAAACCAGGAGTGGAAGTTCATGATTTATCGTCTTTAAGCACAGATAAGGATGTTTGTGATAAAACTATCGATGAAATATTTGATAAAAAGGAAAAGAAAAAAAATCGTAGTAGAGGTCAAAGAAAAAATAAAAGCAAAAATAAAAATTTGGCCAATAAAAAAAGTGAAACTGAAGAAATTAAGGTAGATCAATTAAGAGAGAACAATAGTGATAGTTATAGTGATTTAGGTAATAAATCAGATAATGTTACTACTAAAAATGATGAAAATAGAAATAATGATGAAGATAATGAGGAAAGTTTAGATGAAGATGAGCAAATAAATAATGAATCACTTAGCAGGAAAAGAACACTTGAAGAGTTTGAAGAAATGTTAGATAATGATAGTGGTGAAGAAATAACTTCTAATAAGAAACAGAAGAGAAACAAAACAAGAAAGGTAGATGGGAAGGAGGAGGCTGCTCTAGACAAGAAAACTACTCCAAAAGAAGCATTTGTTGATCCCAAAAAATTGTTCACCATAGAAAATAGAATAAAACAGATTGGTTCTGTTCCCAATGTTATAGGTAAACATACTTTTATGTCAGCAATTTTACTATCTGTGGATAGTTCTTTCAGTAATAGATAGGAGATGATAGACATTCTGAAAATAACAATAAAATAATGAAAATTTTCAAAATTTTCAAAACAACCTGTGGCTTCCTGAAGGGGAAAATATAGCGTGATAAATTTGAAAAGGGGAAAATCAAATTCCAACAACTGAGAATGGAATTAACCCACACATTTTATAAAATTTTCAATTTCATTTCAATTTTACATGCATGGTACATAGCAGAGGCTATGGGGACAGCTTTCTGTCTTCTAGCTGATATAATAAGTCAGATGCTGTTAAGTCATGGTTCTTGTGAAGAAGTGCGCAGGGCATTTCAGGGGAAAATATTAGCTTTTTTAGGGGAAAATATACCTATTTTGAGCACGGGAGACAGCCTTTATTCAACTGTAAAATACAGGGGAAAAAATCACTGAAAATAATGAAGATTAATTTAAGTAGAAAGTTATCATAGCAGTGTAACTTTTAAATATGAAATAATGAGAAATATGCCATAAAGAACAAAAGACAATCATAAATTTTATGCGACACATAGGTAACCATCAACAATGAAGAAATACATTGTTATTTTTGATTGCTCCGGTACTTCACAGTATATACGGCATAGTTTACAATGTGTTTAAGCCAATCTGAATTTAAGAAATTTATTTCCATAAGTATGTACATATATTAGTGGGATCATATGATTAAATACTTGTTTACTTTGTGATAAAAGCAACAAACTTGGCACGTTTGTTGATGAAGACATTTTGTTAAACTTTAGCTATAGTTCCATCTTCAAATTAATAATAGGAAACAATTAGTGTCAATGAAAATACTGTTTAAACTTTAATAAATTCATAAGTTGTTATTGAATTTATCAATTTCATGTGGCACATATATAAATCAGTGTTGTAGGTAGATAATGATTGTATTATATGTTTATAGAGACAGAGAATGATGATGATATAGATGCTGATGAACAACAAAGGTTGACTATTGCCCAGGCATTTGCTGATGATGATGTTATAGCAGAGTTTAGTAGAGAGAAGGATGATAAAATAGAGAAAGCTAAGCCTAAAGATATTGACCTAACATTACCAGGCTGGGGATCATGGGGAGGTGAAGGAATCAAGATCTCAAGAAGGAAAAGGAAGAGGTGAGATTAATTAATCAATATTAAAACACATGTTAATTTTAATTTTCTCCATTATCAGCTCATTATTGGTAAAGAAATACCCCCTTTTATGCAAATTTCTGTTAATTTTTGTTGTGTTTTTTTTTTTAATTTTATATAAACTGGATCACATATTACTATGTTAGTGGGTAATGTTCACATTTAGGAGTATTGCAGTTTTATTCTGTTTTATTTCTTTTTAAGACAGATTTGAATTAAATTAGAAAAGTATTAAATAATTGATTTTTGAACATTAATGTTTTTGTTCAGACAAAATAAAATCAAGTAACTTCAATTCTCTTTTATGTCTTACATGTTGTTCTTTGATATAAAAAAAAATACTGAATAATTTTTCTTTCATATAAACATCATAATTACCATCATTTGTGTCATGTGCAACAATTAATTTGCTTTCTGTATATGAAAAATATTTTTTTCTTTGATGACTTGTCAAATGGCCAAGCAATTTATATTAAGGGAAGCTTAGAATAGGAAGGTTATAGTTCTTGTATAAGCTTACATATGAACTAACACATATAAATGTTTATTTCTTGTGGCACGATAGCTCAGATGGTTAGACCACTGACTGTCACTCCTGAGGTTCCCGGTTTGATCCTGGATATTACCCTTAGGATTTTTCACAAACAATTTAAGTGTTTCCAACCTACCTAGAGGTATACTTGTATGAAACCCAGGTTATCCTCACATATATCAGTGCTATACACTGGGCATTTAAAAGAATCAAAGGATCTATTCAATAAGAGCTAGGGACTGGTTCCCGGATTCCCTTGTATCTCATAGCTGTCTCTGGAGTCAGCTGAGGTAAGGACCCTGCTGGAAATAAGTGCTTGCACTTTCGTAGGTTATCCTTGACCGCCAGGTCTAAAGAAAATCAATCAATCATAAAAATTGTACATTTGATCAATCATAAAAATTGTACATTTGATTTTCAGGTTTACAATTAAAGCACCACCTCCTCTTCCAAGGAAAGATACTCACCTGGGACATGTTATACTGAATGAATCAAGGATTGCAGCTGTGGCAAAACACATGGTACTTTACTTCTTTTATGTAAAGATATTTATATAGATAAAATCTCAAATTGATTATACATACAAATATATTCACACCAAACAAGGGAAGTGATGTGACGTTTTGTCTGAGTATATTTGTATATATAATAAATGCTGTTGAAGAGGACCGAAAGCTACGGCAAATTCAAATTGGAGTTTTTAATTATCTATATATATATACAATGTATATATGGTCTAAAGTGATCAATACATTTCTAGTTGTAATACTGTCTTGAGGGAAATGATTATGGACAGCATAAATTTCATGTAAAAATAGCCTGAAGTATTTTAATTGTTGTGATTGTGCTTTTAGAGCAGATTTTGTTATAGAAAATTTGTACATGTGTGTTTGTAATATTTTATTGAGACATCGAAGAATAAGCATTAATGCTTTCAAAATACAAAAATGGAAGAGGGATGTTAATCTTAAAATCCTATGCTAAAGTAGGGTGTAGTTTTGGTATTGTTAATGCAACCGAAGCTACAATGTCTTGGTAACTTTTGGTAGTGAAATAATAGCAGATCTATAAAGCATTTTAGGCATTATTGTTCATTTGATGTCTGTAAATTAAATTAGTTTGTAACACTTATTTTAAAAAGTTATGGTCTTTTATCATATATCACATTGTAATTAGTAATATGTGAAAAATATGGAAACAACATTGTTTAAAATTGATACCAATTTCCAAATATTTATGATGATGAAGAAAACTTAATGATATTGTTTATATTGTAACATTTGGAATAATTTTGGATATGTTTTTAATTGATACCAATACATTCTTTAGGTACATGAGATTCCATTTCCTTATGCAAGTCCTGAACAGTTTGAGAAGAGTATAAGAGCACCACTCGGCAGGACGTGGAACCCACAAGCAGTCCATAAAGACCTGGTCAAACCCAAGGTTGTTACAAGACTTGGAAAAATTATTCAACCTATAAACAAAGCTGAGGTTTCAAAATACCTGGAGAAAAAAGCTCATAAAGATGGCAATTCCAAATCAGACTCAAAAAAATCAGACTCTAAGACATCAGACTCTAAAAACTCAGTGAAAAGGCTAAATAAACATGGTAAAGGAAATATGAAAAGTCAAAATAACAAAAATAAAAGCCACAATGTGAAGCATGGTAAGGGTAAGAAGAAATGAACGTTTATTGAGTGATTACGCTAATGTTGTGTGTGCATTGTAAAACAGTATCTGTAATATTTGAAAAGTTGATGAACATCAGGTTGTGTGCATAGATATTAAAAAATTATGAAGGAGAAATATTTGTTTATTTTATATTGTAGGAATTGCTCAAGATTTAATTCTTTTTGTTTGGTTTTATGGTGCACCAATACAATTAAGGTCATATAGCACAGAAACAGGAAAGAAGATTTTTACTAACCTCTGGTGTTACAAAATGCCAGTCTTAAAGCAACACCAGTGGTCAAAACCACCTCAACTGCTGGAGTTAATAGATGCATAGATTGTAGTGATTTGAAAACATTCAGTCCCCTCTTACGATCATGCAGAGCTAAATGGTGGCTGTAATTCTGATACCTCTACCCTTAAAGTCAACCTCTCAGCCACAAGGGTATCAAGATTTATAGATTACTTGAACTAATGTTATGATTATTAAGCTACTGAACTACACATGTTGTTTTAAAAGTATAATATTTTAACATTTCAAATATTTATCCTTATTTCACAAAGATTATTATCGATATATACATATTCATTAACATTTTTGGAAAGCAAATTCCATAGTAACGACAAAATTTGTTCATTAAAATGTTTTCCTATTCTATGCACCCAATGGGTGGCAAATAGTTTTTAGCTCAACTTTTCAAAGAAAAAACCTGGAGGTATTGTTGGTGTTGGTTAATCTGTTTTGTTTAAGTTTTTGTAGAAGGTCATGAACTGAAATACAGACAAACTTATAACATTGAAAATATTTAATTAATATGTGGAAACACCTGTGAATTCTACTTGTCACACCAGTTTTGTAGTCACTGACCTGTAATAGTTTACATTATCATAATGTGATGTCATATCGCAATGGCGGATAATCCTAGTTAAATTTTGGACTCTTTTTACTAACATTTTTGTTAAGGTTAACTTCTCAAAAACTATGAGATATTTGCAAAAATGCATTTGTTCAGGGCAGATAACCTTGAAGTCGTTTTGCTAAATTATCATCCTTTTGATATTTTTGTAAAATTTTCAAAATCCACCACATACATTCACTTCAAACTTGAAATACTTATTTACTAAAAAGGACAAATAATTCTGCCATGATAATTTTAAAAAATTAAAGGGCCCCTTTTCCTTTCCTTTTATGTAAGTTATGAAAAAATCCCATTTGTTGGGAAAAGGGGTTAAAAAGGGTCTTGCAATTGTTTAGGTAAAAACGTTTCCCTCGATAATTTTAATTTCCCCCTTAGGTAGGATTTCCCAAATTGGGAAGGGAATTGGTTTATAATTGAATTTATTTTGTAAGGCCCAGGTCAGTACATTACCTCTAGTTTACTGTTTATAATAATAAAGAATTAGCTGAACTTGAGACTGATGTAAAATTTCAAACACCAAGGGGGAAATTTTTTAAGCAAGTTAATAGAATAAAAACTTTTTAAAGGGTATAAGAAATGGCCCTCGTCTTCCCAATGCCCTAAATTAAAATTTTATGTATTGTAACCAAAAGTGATATGATTGGGGTAAAGGGTTCAAATAAGGGAATTGATTTGGTAAAAGTTGAAATAAATTGAAAAAAACTTAAATGAATTAACCTTTGGGATTTTTAATAAAACCAGATCCCGTATTGATTTTAGGTAATCAAATAAGCCCAATTACTTTAAGTAACAGTTTTTTATAATTAAAAGGAAGTGGCCTAAATTTCCCTTTATGGTGTTTGGGCATCCACAGAATTTATTTTTTATTAGGGAAAGGGTCAGTCCATGCCCTTGAAAAAAAACGGTTCTGTCATAATAGATGCTTCTGGCAAAAGGGAATTAAAGCAGGGGTTTTTTCCCCCAAAATGACCACCAGTGACTATATGTTTGGGTAAAAAATCAACAAAAACCATTAAAGGTTTGAAAATAAAAACCCTGTTATTTTTCAAAGCTACAGGTATTTTAAAAAAAGGGGAGTTTTCCCTATTGTTTTTCGTTTCAAAGTAAAACACATTGACTTAGTAAAAAGGTTTCTTCCTATTTTGAAAAAATATTGGTTGCCTTGGCAAAAGTCAAATAGGCTTAAAACATGGCAAATATAACAATATTAGTGATTAGTGAAAAAGAGCTAAACATTTTTATGAATTGCATCTTTAATTCAAGAGTTATCTCCTCTTTAAGAATTTTGCTTTTAAAATGTTATATTTTGGTAACAGGGATGTTTCAAATTTTAACTTTAGAGTGTCCTTCAGTCCGTCTGTCTGTCTGTTCATAAAACTGTTTCCTGTGATCACTTTTAAAGAACTTTTCCAACAAATTTACTTAAAATAGAGAAAAATTGAAACATTAGTGAATGGCCAATGGCCCTTCAGAATGTTGATGGGGTTCTAACCAGTAGGGGACTTATGGATTGCTTGCAATACTATGATAATTGCTTGTTTATATTTGATTTCATACCACTTGACCTTCATTACTGTAGGTTGGAATCCGCCAGTGACTTTTGATTCTTCGATGTGAGGAAGCTATCCAACGTCAGTGGTTGTATTTAGGTGCTCCGTCTTCCTCCACTTGTATGCGAAAAGTTGACATTTGACCACTACTGTGTATATTTATATGCATGTTTTTGCGAAAAACATTTACCAAAGTCATCATCTACATGTAGGTTAATCTTACCTATTTTCTTAGTCAATAAATGTCACATTAGCAAAAAGTCTGGGTCCCAAGTCATGGTTTGACTGCATGGAAAATAGATAAATATTTATGTGGTGGTTAAAGAGACTCCACTGTGTTTTGTTTGTTTCTTTTACTTGACTGTAAATATTTTTCTGATAATGTGTACCATTTGATGAAAGTTTAGAACAACAACTTTTATGCTAATTTTCAGATCATTTCCCTCTCCCCATTTTTTCAGAATCATCATTTATATTGCGCAAAATAATCCAAAAATGAGAAATGTTGCAATGCTTTTCACTCAAATTGGGCTTAGAATCACACAAAAAAATGATTGTCAATTAAATTCTGAGCATATTTCTTTATTATTCTAGGCAGATTTTTCTGTTTTAAGTGCTTCACTTGACATAAGTAAGATTTTTGATTTTAAGCTTTTTGACCTCGGTGGATTTCCTTAAATGTGCTTTAACTCAATAAATTACATTATAAAGTATGTAAAAAATAAATTTGTGTTTAACCCTATGTAAAAAGTAAGCTTTTATCCGTTTGTGTGAAGACAATGTACACTTAATAAATTGATGTTGTGGTGTTCAACCTAAAAAGTATAGTATTCTTTTGCCAAGGATTTAATGAGTTTTTTACAACGTGTAATTCCTTTGACTGGGCCGTTTGAAAAAATGATATTTCATTGGTTGTCGTTATGTCACGTGATGTAAACACTTTTCGTTCGTTCTTGCGAAAGTGAAACTGGATACACGCTTAACTGGTGTATCGTAGAGAACTTTATTTGGATTAAATTATTGCAACATGTTAGTCATCCATTTGCGGATATTTCTTTATACCCAAGTAAATTTTTATATAGTTTTGATTTGTTCGCGCAATTTAATGGTTGTGTCAGATAAGATAAAATACGATGCTCTGATATTTTTGACAGTTCCTGCACTATTTTGACAGTTCAGCTAATTATACCAAAAAAAACTTTATTTAACGTTTTCCAGAAATAACGCCCAAGCGCACCCAGAAAATTAAGCGTTTTTATAACATTTTTTAGAATCCTAATCATGTTTTATATCCAATTTTTTTTATATGGCATTTTAATGTTTTCTTCCCTTTAACAAAACTTTTACAAAGAAAAAATTTTTTTAATCAGTTAAAGTAGAATCTAGATCTATCATTATGATCAGGTGCAAATGGTTGCTTTTGACTTTATTTGATTTGAAATCTTTGGAAGTGAACTGAATTCTAAATCTTTCAAATTTTTTTTTCGTACAAATAGTTTAAACAATATTTTATTTATAATCAACACATTTACATAATAAAGTACATAAAATAAAATTTACGGATTGAGTAGGTTTTATTTTATGTACAATTGTAATAGTTTATAACAGGTTGGTTTTTCAAAAGATATAAGATTTTGTTATAACAACTTTACCATTTTATATATTCACTATACCACTTTGGAGCCTTGTCTTCATTTTCCGCCTGATGTTTTAAACCATAAAATTACAGTCATACAATGTATATAAGTTTTATTTATTTCTTGTCATTATAACAGCAAGCATTGAAAGTCTGACAGTACTGTATCAGTGTATGTCATCTTTTTGTTTTTGCCCTTAACAGAGGAGTTTATTTTGCTCTTGAAATTGTTGGAATGGAAGATATAAACTTGATTATGATACATGAACTTTATGAATTAATTAGTCAACGGTTATTGCTGTTTTTATGTAATACGATTTATTCAATATATCATTAATTCATATAATCTTTAAAAAAACTAGTGTTGAAACTGGATTAGAGCAACAGGTAGCTGTCATTTCAAAAAAAAAAAATTGTTTGGGTCAATATCAGGGCTTCCGTTAACGGGCGTACGGCCGTAAATTACGCCCGAAAATCGTATCTGTACGCCGAAAATTAAGATCAATGACGTACCGCTGACTTCCAAAAATTTAGGAATACGGCGAAAATCGTAAGCCGTGACGTACGCCACAACTATTTTCCGACCTTTTCTCACTTTCAAGGCGTACGATTGGATTATTTATTTAACTCCGCCCCCTGAATTGAATGGTTGACATGACAGCGATGGGTGAAATTATGCGAATGCACCTGGCGCGTGACGAATTAGCGAGTGTTGATTTATGACCTTGATAAGCGTGAAAACAAAGTGATTGGATTAGTTGTTTGTTTTGTACGGATAATGGATAGTTAATTGACATAAACTGTGGTAGGTATCTGTTTTTACTTTAATTAGATAAAATGATTTATTCATTATTGTGTGCATCGGTAGTTTGAATGTATCCGAAAGTTTGCCGAGTCGGCGAAGCGTGTTTTTGTCTTTTGATTTTTTTTTTCCTTTTTGAAGTTAAAGACGTTTTATTTTCACACATTCTATAGATGTTGATTTGATTTTATATTTTTTCACTCGCTAATTATGAGAAGCAAAGTTACATTTAATAATCTTTTTCCCTACCCACTCTCAAAAAAATTTGGCGTATCTCAAAAACGTAATTAAAAAAAAATAATTTGGTCAAGAACGGTGTTCGAAATTATTTTCATATGAATAATTTTAAACACAAGAGATATTTAAACAACATTTTTTATTTTACAATTAAGAATTATAACAATGCTAAAGGATGTCATGTTTTTTTTTATTTCAGGAAATCTACAGAGATCCACTCTTTTAAAACACAATGAATAAATGCTGTGCAGGCTGATCACATGAGACAACAGCTGTATGGTACAGATCCAGAGGTAGAAAAAGAAGAACCCATCATACACATTTCAGAATCTACTTGTACCATGATTGATTAAAGAATTAAAAGTTTTCTAGAAATATTTTTTTTTTGTTATACCAATGAGCAATTATTTGAATGTTATCACTGAAGGGTTCTACATGGCATGGCTACCACTGTCCTTAAATAACAACAATACAGTCCTTTTCAGGGTAATGTTCTTACTTCTATTGAAAATATTTACCCAACAATCATGGAAAGATACTTTGAACTTAAAACATAAAAAGGAATGACATTTTCAGAATCTTGTGATTAAAATAATTGCTTTTACTTGTATCATCCCATACTATAAATCAAACATTGAAACATGAAAATTATACGCGTAAGAACAACTGACTTCCAGAAATTTACCTCATGACTTCCAAAATTCCTTGAAAGGAAGTCCTGACTTCCTAAAAAAAATTCCTAGTGGAAGCCCTGCGGTCATATTTATACTAAAATGATTTAATTTTAAACTTTGTTTTGGTTATTAATCAGTATGGTTAATATCTGGACTGTTATACATAGGTTCATATTATATTACAAGTTAATACTAATTAAGATAACTATTAAATAATTAAAGGAACATATCCATATTTTCAGATAAAAATGAAAATTTTCTCCATCTTCAACTTCAAATATGATTGTACTGCATAATACAGCAACTAGACAATGTCCAATGGGGCTGAGAAGAAATCGTTTGTGTTCAGGATAAATGATCATGGACAGGGACCTGAACTTGTCCGCCAAGTGTTCCTTGAGAGAGGCTGGATAGAGTTTGATGAGGATGAGCAGAATGATTCTGACTGGAATATATGGTGGCGTACATCAAGGTTCCGCCTCAGTGACTATGAGAATCTGTCACAATGGCAGAGACTCAATCACTATCCAAAGTCGACAGGAATTACAAAAAAAGATTGTCTTGTGAGAAACTTAAAGCGTATGAAAGGTGTCCATGGCTCTGCAATGTATAATTTCAGTCCCTTGTCTTTCAATCTGCCAAATGATTACACACGTTATGTGGCAGAATATGGAAAGCTGAAAGCAAAAACTGATCCAAAGCATTTCGCTTGGATATGTAAGCCAGCTGATATGTCACGTGGGCGGGGTATATTTTTGTTTAAAGATATATCTGATTTACAATATGATTGCAATGCTGTAGTGCAACAATACATAGCTAATCCATTATTGATAGGTGGCTACAAATTTGATATACGATTGTACGTAGCTGTACCATCATTCCATCCATTGACAGTATATATATTTCAAGAAGGAATCGTTAGGTTTAGTACTGAAAAATATGATATGTCTGCTCTTAATAATATATTTGCTCATTTGACTAACACATCAATCAATAAACACAGTCCATCCTACACTACTGACAAGGAAAGGATCGGTCCTGGATGTAAATGGACCCTTACTCAGTTGCGTTACTATTTTCACCAGAACAATCTAGATGACACACTACTCTGGTCAAGAGTAACAAATATAATCATATTAACATTATTGATACAAGCTCCCCAGGTGCCAAAGGAAAAGAATTGTTATGAGCTGTATGGATTTGATATTTTAATAGATGAAAAATTAAAACCATGGCTTCTAGAAGTGAACTTTAGCCCTGCATTAGGAACAGATTGTCAGGTAGATGTAATGGTTAAGAAACCAATGCTTCATGATTTGATAGACATGTTAAACTTTAAGGACAGTGATTCAGAGCGTGGCAAGACTGACAAACAGATGAACACAGGACGAGTAACAAACAGAGCTAGAATGTCTGCAAATAGAAATAGACAAGAACTTATAGATAGGACAACCACATCAAGTAGACTCAGTCAACGTGGTGGAGTACAACGTATGAACTCCACTATTTCAACTGCCTTAAAAAGCATTGAATCTCCTATGATAGAACAGCAGTTGTCTTTCATCCAGCAGGACAATCCATCCATCCAGAAAACCAGCGAAGATAAAATGTGTTATGGGTTACCATTGGTTAATCCTTCAGATGATGAAAAGTGTGATAGTGAGGATAATTCTGGAAGGTCAAGCACCAAAAGTGACTATATTGAAGCTGATATATATGCTCTCTACTCAGGAGGTAGATTTACTCCAGCACCCACAGTGACTTCTATAGGACAGTCTACTTTAGAAAAATACAGTTCATTTGAGAGAAGTGGGACTACTTCATCTTTTGTAAAGAAAACTGAATCTGTGCAATCTCTAAATCAGCGAGGGGATAAAATGTCCTTAAAAAGTTTTGGCAATTCTGATAGTGCTTATTCTAGTTTCTCAGACAACTCTGACAAAGTGCCTGTTAGCAGTTCAAACAGTAAAAGTAAGATATATAGTCATAGAAGAAAGAGCTATACATTACAAACAGAGGTGCTTTCTGAAATACCTAAAGAACCAGAGTCATTTCAGATCAAATCATTACGTCCAACAGAAAACTCTAAATCTTTGAGAAAAGTGTCCAACCGTGGAGTGACACCTGTTAATAATGTTGTTAGTTTTAGAAGTAAATCTAGGGTTAATGTGCCACAAGTTGATGGCATTATGACTAAAAGCAAAACTTTTTCAAGAACACCTTCAAGAAATTTTGTTGCAAGGTCCAGTTCTAGATTTGGATATGTAACAAAAAGGAGCGATCAGGACTTTAATCCAAGAAATCGAGCTCAGGGAGTTGTTTCAAGTATGTCCACTGTTTCTAAAACACCAAGAGATAAAGAGACCCTAAGTCTTGGACTGACTGGGATATCAAAGAAGGCACCAAACAGCAATAAATTTCAGAGGAAATCTAAGTCAGTAATGTCACATCAAAAACCTAAAGGCCCTCCACCAAAAATTGGAGAATTTTTTCTAGTCTTTCCCTTTAATGAAGGGACATACAAAGCTGCCAATTCTACACTTGATCCACATGTTGTTATCAAAGAGACTCAAAAACTCTTCAAGGATTTAAAGCAGGAGGTAGAGAAGGCTACAGATGACAAGAAACTTGGGGGACTGTTGCCTTTTGGGTCAACAACATATGACGAGAGACTTTGGGCTCCTGTGAAACCTCAACCTGAAGAGCAGTAACTTTGTTGTCCCATGGTGCTCAGGTAACTTGTTTGCTTTTTTTGTTGTTTAACTTAAAACCTTTTTTTTTTACTATGACTTTCCTTTTCCAACATATTTCCTTCATATTTTAATACAAATTAATGCAACAGAAAAGTTGAAAGTAAAATGTTAAAATTGTGGTCCTCTTACAGATTGGAGATTTGTATCACTCATATATATTTCAGCACAAATTGTTATTTACAAAGAATGTGATTTACATGTTGATTAGGAGTTTATTTTCCGGAGGTCAATACCAACAGTCTATCATCTCTCTATTTAATGACTTCTTTATGTCCTTGCTTAAATTATCTCAGTGATAAAATACTTGTATGCCTCTTAAAGGGGCACAGGTGCACGTTTCTAGATCTAGAACATTGGGTCATTTCTTTTACATAAGATTTCAATAGCAGTTGTTTAAAGGTTTAAAGAGTATCAAATGATAAAATATGCTTACATAAAAAAGTGCTTGAACAATGTTAAGAGTTACCTTATCTTAAATAGTCTGAAAAATTTAGAATTAAATAAAATGCAACGTGAATTCTTTTGTCATTTACCTTTAATACATTAAATTTTGTTTATAAATCATTGGCCAATATAATAGTTACGGTATATTCAGAAGACATAGAAATGATATTTTATAAAACACAGAGTATGCCCCTTATCAAAAAGACAAACTTGTCCCGTCACATTGTAAGGACATTTGTCATTTAAACTGTTTTTAATCCCCTGCTGAGAATATCAAAATATTTTATTCAAGTACAAGAAGAGTGTAGTGGACTGGAGTGGACAATAGGGCCACTTATTGTACTTTAGAAGAAACTTGATTACAGATATATGATACTTAGAGAAGCTATATAACTGAATGAACCTCTCCAACCTCTCCACAACAAAGACAAATGTTATCTTCTCTGTTTCAAGATCACCTTCACATTTATATTACATTTGTTGAGAGAAAAAAAAATGTTTTGATTTACTGAATTATAGGTTAGATTGTTGATAAACCGTACATAAATTGTTGTCAGATTTTGTCAGATGTAAACTGGTCCTAATTGAAAGGAGTAAATCGTGCCCATGAATGATATAATTTATTTGAATTAGAATCATTTAATGCCTTCCTGATCTGTTTATTGCTAGCACTTTGGACTCTTTTATAAAAATATTGCACTTGATATGTCTGAATTTTTTTTATTGAGATTTACTTCACATTTACCAGACTAAGGGTTTTTAGATCATAAAATAATACATGCTTATACATGTATATGAAAACACAAGCAATGATCAAAAATATTCTCTTCCAGACCAAAAACTGTGGGAGAAAAATTTTTCTCAAACAGATTAAGATGTAACAGATGTTTCCCATAAGAGAATAAACAGTGAAAAGATTATATTTCACATTTTAAAAACATTTTTCAAAGTTCCAGGGTTATCAATTTTTGTCCTTTAATGTCCTCTAAAGAGAACTTTACTTTTTCCTTCAATTTTATTAAATATTAATATCTCTTCATATAATTATATTTCTAAATTTTCCTTATGAAATAAGCAATGATAAATAAATGATTATAAAATGACAAAATTGAAGCTATTTTATATTATGACAAATCATTTTCCACATTTATCTATTTGAAACTATCTTTATGTTTAAATCTTATAAATTCCTGTCTGGATTAAACTTTATACAGGGGATAAAAAGAATCTTTTTTGTTAAATCTGATATAAGACGGCCACAATTTGCTAACATTACAAGTAAAATACCGTTCTTAAAATGTAGGAAAAAGTCTGCCTACAAATCTAGATTGAAGAGATAAACTTTTTTGAGATATCTCCGTTTAGTGCACAAGTCTTTATTGTTCCATTCTATTTAAAAGTGTAAGGTTACTTTAATAAATGTTAATTGTGTTGAAATGTGCAAGGTCTTGTATGTTTGTATTTAATTTTGATATGAATGTTACGATCAAGATTATAATTATATAAGGCAGCTTTTTCTTTTCTTGTCGGGTTATTTGGTATATATTGTCAGGGACATTTATCAAATAGAAACCGTCTCTTAAAGAAACTATTGATTTGTTTATGTAGCAAATGTGAGCATGTTTACATTGAACAAACTAAGAATATATTAAGGTGCATGAGGTATATAATTTCAAATTCATTTACCTCAATGTGTTTAAAATCTATACAGTCTGTCTCTCATTTACTTTTTCAAGTAGCTACATTTACTCCAAGTTCTGAAAGCATTTTCTTACAGCCCAAAGTTTTTAATAGCATTTCTTTAAAGATGTTTTCTTTTTTTTAATGGATAACTCTTTAAAATGATGCAATTAGATTGAAAATTTCCCTCCTACATTCATCAAAAGAACATTATAAAGTTGTGAATAGGGAAGTAGGTATACGCCCATTAAAACACCCATTTTGTCCTCTTCTTTTACAACTGATGTCACTTCTGTTAATGTATAATAGAGTCGAGGGTTATGTAATATGAGAGAATGAACTGTGTCTGGTGTAAAATCAATTTTAGTTATTAACTTTTCATGTAATTTATAATAAGCGTGATATCTGTCAAAGCAGCTACATGTCAATGTTATGTAACAATGATGTAGCTTTATATTTCAAAATGGATTGAAGAAAAAACAAGTGCAGAATGCTTTACAGTTTAATTTTAACAGCATCAAACACTGTCCTTATAAGTGGAATTTTATGTTTTTAGAATAACCTAATCATTAATGATATTTTTAATGTTTTGACTGGTTATAAATTATTACATGTTGTTTATATAAATAATGAAATACTTGAAGTATCTTAATAGCAGCAAAAAATTTTTGCATGCTGATTAATATTGAAAAATAAACAGATAATGTTAGTTTATATTGTATGAAACATAAATTTTTTACTCATACATGTGATTCAGGATGCCATGTAAAACTAACTGCAACTTTAGTGGTAAAAACATGTCTGTCAAATAACATGGCCCTCGCATGTGTAAAATATGATAAAGCTGGTTCTTTATATGAAAAACATATATTGAAATCCAAAATTACCAAATCAGACATATCCTACATGTATTTATGCAAGAATATCGCTGTAAATACAACTGTTTTATTGCATTAGTTAAAATGATAACATTCTGCAAAAAACACCCTCAGATTATAAAAGTCTCAAGACCACAGGGCTATGATTTTTGAGGGCCTGCTCAATGTGTTTCTGCAAAAAAAATTGTAAAGCTTTGCCACCGTTTATCTATGAAATGCTTATCATAAAAAAAGTTCTTTATCAAATAAAGTGAATATTTTGTCTAAGCAATTATCATCAAAACTTTTTAAAGTGTCCACTTTTAGGTAAATAATATGATATTTAAACATTTTAAAATTTCTTATTATGAAAAAAAGTCCCCATTAGGCCTGATCTCCTAAATGTAAACACTTAATGCATTGACTTTCTTTCTATTGAAATTTCCCTAATTTCACAGGTTTATTTGTCAAATATTTAATATATTCAGACAAACCTTTAATACAATTAAAAAAATTTGAAATTCACAAAAGTAATATCTATTTAAATCTGAATAAAAAATCTTATGGGGAAATTTTATTAGCCAGGTGTTAAAATAGCCAAAGAAAAATTCTATTCAGAAGTGACTAACTATTATAAAACATTAATTGTTGAATTATATCGTGTATTATACTGTGTCAAGTTTGTAGGACATCATTTTTATACTATTGAATACGGGTGGTACAAAACCTGGCCATATCTGTCAACTATCATTGTTCTATTGATTGTATTGTAAGCTATTATATTTCAATGAATAAATACTTGGCATGCAGTAGTTTTATGTAAGCCCTGTTTTATGCTGTACATTAATTTGAACATTTTCTCTCTATTGTCTCAATGTAGGTTAATAGGACAATTTTTTCTGCTTTAATACATAAACACTGCAGTCAATTATACAGATGATTTCGGCAGTTTTTATTAAATAGACAACTTAACTTAGTGTAGGTATTTATAGTTATAAGCTCAAAGTGAAAAAGAATTTTTCTATATGATCTGAATAACTTTATCTGTAATCTATATAACTTGATTTATAAATGACCCTGATGAAACATTATTAAAACAGACATTTTTCTTTTATTATCAGATAGAAAGTTTAACCATAAGCAATATTTTTATTCTTCTCAGTGTGACAATCTTAACTTTGTCCTGTTCTTCAGGGTCTTTCATTAATCTTTAAAAAAAACTTGCTTTTTCATTAAACATTCCGATAGGAATGGTCGTAAAAAAAATATGTAAGAATATTCATAAAAACAGTATTTTGTAGTCATTGTATATAATATTGTCATAATAATTCAAAGTAGGGAAGGGAGGGGTCCACATTTTAAATGTTCGTGCACTGCAGGCTATTTCTTGTGATCTATAGTGTATATAAGGATATCAATAAATAACTGATTTTATATGATCAATAAATATAAAATAAAGAATAACACTAGCACAGTGCCTGTAAAAAGTATAAATTCGTTAAACACAAATTTAATAAATCAGACTTGTAAAATCATATGAGCCGCGTCACGACAAAATCAACATAATGCGTTTGAGACCAGCATGGATCCAGACCAGCCTGCCGTCCGTGCAGTCAGATTGCGCGGATGGGCAGGCTGGTCTGGATCTATGCTGGTCGCAAACGCATTATGTTGGTTTTGTCGTGACGCGGCTCATATTAAATAATGGAACAAGGAATGTTTATTCTAAGAGAAATAAGGCCGCCTGTAACTGAAGTTAATAAATCATACTGACAGACTGGTATCACACAGTTTTTCAATATTGAATGTTTCGATTTGTTTCCCATTATTATGAATGGTTGTATGACAAGTAAACAAAGAATAGAAGAACAAACACATTATTTAGTTTAATATGTTTGTATTAGAGGCCATTACCCAGTCATAAACTAGCTCTCTTTATATAAATTATAAGTGCATTTTTTCTTTCATTGTTTTATGAACTAAACAAACTATTAGTAACAATAGGAATGAGGAAGGACTGTACACGTCAGCACCGGATCAAACATGATCAACAAGTCAAAATTGGTTACCATTGGTCTTTGAATACTTCACAATCTAGTAATGTTAATTTTCATTGGACAATGTTGATATATGAATTATCTCTGCACATAGACTGTGCCAAAGTTCGAATTGAATTATTATTTTTACCAATGGTAGCAACATAAACAAGATTAAAGTTTGAACCATTTTTATACTACCAGTACTTTATATCTATTAATAAAGGCAATCTAAAGTTGCAATTTTTTAAGTTTTGGAGAAAAAAATTGTATGTCAGGGGACAGGGGAGGCATATTGTATATGTATCTCATGCCTATGTGGTTTCTGTAACTTTACGATTTGAAAAACTTAATGTCTCATGGCACACCATTTGTTGTATACCACAAACTTAATTGATTCATTTAGTGGAATTGAGGCAAGTAGTTTCATGTCAATATGTGTCTGTAATATTTAACTTGTGCTAAAACTGATCTTCACACTTTTGTCATATGCACTGCAAAATATAGCTTTGACGGATTCTAAAATTTCTACATTATAATTATCAAACATCAGGGAGTAGATTTCTAAAATATGATGAAAATAAGTTTTCAGCTAAATTTGGTTTTTGTAATAATGATTATATTTCTGATTATGATAGAATTAGAACATTTCATCAGATTAATTGTATTATAGTTATAAAGTGCAAACTCTCCATAGAAGTGAAGAATTCAGTCACTATATACAATACACCTAAATACACATAATCCGGCCTTAATATGCAAACAATAGAAATACATGCTTTGACCATTGCCAAATGTAAATAATGTTCAAATGGTTTAACCCATTCTTTCCACACTATATAAAATAATCCTCAAGTGTATTAAACTTTAAAATCTTAATCTTATATTTGGGAAATCACCACATTAAATTTTCTATAAGATTAATTCACCTCATACAAAGAATGTTCTGTTTATTAGACAGAAAAACATTGACTTTTAATATTACTGGCATATTTGTTTATCTATGACATAATATTATTTTAAGTTGTCCGGTATGATAAGAAATAAAAAAAATGGTATATTTTTTCATACTTTAACACATGGTCTTCCTACACAGTAAAGCTGGAAAGTTACTGTGTGACCTTAATGGTGACCATGTGACCTGAAAACTTGAAAATATAGATTAGTAATGTTACCTATATAATTCAAGATTGGTGTTTATATATTTCAGGTTGACAATCATGATATACAGTAAAATATAGAAGATGCAGTTCAAAGACTTGTATATAATCATGTTGATGATTAGCAAGATACTGTATATTCTCTAAATGCCCCTGGGGGTGTTTCATCGTCTAAGGGGGGTGGGGGTTAGGGGGAGGGGGGCATTAATTAAAGTACAAAAAAGTTAATTTAATGATTGTTACTGTTTTTGTGGGGTTTTTTTTGCTAGATTATAATGTAAACTGGAAGCACAAGCTGTGTTAAATTTGTGCAATGTTATTTGGATTATGATAAAAACTGCTATCGTCTTGGTAACCCAGTTTTCTTTTTCTATGTCAAAAAGGGTGAAGTAGGGGGCCTAAATTAGTGGAGGGGCATTTATTAACAGATATACAATAGATGCACAAAGTTTATATGTATGACCAGAGAAATGTTGAGAAAGAGAAATATTGTCTTATTTTATCTCTGTCTGTACTGTAATAACATTTGATATTTGAAATATTATTATAACAGAATAAGACAAATTATATAAGCATTTTGCAACACTATTTTTGTTATTCAAGAAGTTTAATTTGTTACAACAATGCTATATTGAATTTTGCAAAACTCTGATTATAACCATTTTTGATACCCCTACTTTGAAACCAGGAGCATACTGTCATGAGGCCGGTCCGTAGGACTTACTTACAATCATACATACAAAATAACATCACCTCTTCCTTACCCTTTTCAATAACTTAAGAAGAAGAGGTTTTTATATCTAGGACGAGAAATTGCCCATGGCCAATATTATTGATTTTGATGTCAGTAGATCCAAGGCAAAGGTCACCATGTCATGACCACTTAAAGCTTGTCAGACCAATAACTACAGAATGCTTTGGTTTTGAATCCTTAGATTTAGTGTGAAGGTTGGTTTTGACTAGTCCCAATTGATTTTAGGTCAGTAGGCCAAAGGTCAAGGTTTTTGTGACCTTGACCTTTAAAAGCTTGTCACACCACTAACTAGGGAAGCTTTAGCATACAGTTCTAAGATTAGTGCTGTTCTTGAACATTTAAAGCTTGTCCGACCAATAATGAGAAGATTACCTATATTGAATTCAATGTGTGTAGGTCAAAGGCCAAGGTCATGGTGACATCATACACTAAATGTTTGTCCAACCAATTACTAGACAACATTGTGGCCTAAAGTCATTAGACCTGTGCAAAAGTATTTTTTGTCATAAAGTATTATTCCATAACAGGATATAAAGATAATTTTTAAAACAGATATATTGCTATGAGAAAATGAATGTTTGACCTTCAATGACCAGGTTTCTATTTATATATACTTTCAAATGTGTATTGAAAAAACAGGGTTTACTGTATTGATACTGTAGTTAGATTTTATAGGAAAACATGTTATCTATATTACGCCTAATTGACAAAGCATTTACATAGTTATGTTGTATTCAAGATATATTTGTACCTGACTGTGATATTTGAATTTATATATGTGGTTTTTTTTTAAATTGTTATATTTTGTTAAAGATAATGTTGACTGGTGAGAATATGTTTGTATAGTCAGAGATATTTTTGTTACTAATGGTGCATATAATGTTAATGTTTGAGTTTTATTGAGAAGATTGTTAAAGGTATTTTGTTGTCAAGATTGTAGGAAACATTGTTGTTTTAACTTATTTATAGAAATCTTATTATTTACCAATTCTGTATGCATTACAGTATAGAATTTGTTCTATTTTTATAGTGAACACTCATTTCATGGCTTTAATTCAATTGATACAATTTATTGTCAAACAATTAATTGATAAAGAATTCACATCAGGTGGTGGCATATACCAAACCATTGCTTAATCAATGCTACAACTATCATAAAATAATAATTATCTTCAATATATTTATAACATAGAAGTTTTTGTCTGACCCTTATTTTTTCTAAAATTTGAACTATCAACATAGTTTTTTGTTTGTTTTTTCAAGAATTTAAAGGAAAAGACGTCTTGTATGCTTAGTTATGAGATTTACAATTTAAAGTTGAATAGATTGTATTCTAGATATGAAAGTCTTACATTGTTGATTATACAAGTCCACCAGGATATATGCAAATAAATATTTAAACAGCTTACATGTAACATTGCTTGTAAAATATCAATACATTTTTTTTAAATACCAGACATAAGGGTTTTTTTTCATTTTAAAATTTTTAAAAATGAGGGTCTGTTGATTTGGGACTTAATTACCATAAGCCCTATTTCTAATTTTAAAAAAACTTGTAGAGCTGTAGAAAAAACAAAATTATTATTTTTTTTTAATCATTGAATAAAGACCCTTTATATAATCTTAAAATTATGGAATATGAATTAATTGTTTTAATATATATAATATTAAAAATGGTCATGAAATTTTTGTTCATAAATTTGTTAAATATGTAGGTTAGGTAGCAGTAACAGAATAATATAATATAGGAAATATTCTTGATACAAAAATAATACATTTGCTAACAGAAATAACTAATTCCTTCAAATCTCTTTTTTTTATGAAACATTCTGGTTCAAGAATTTCAGGAAGAAATTCCTGAATCTCCAATATAACAACAGCTTAGTAAAAGAGTGTTTGACAGCCTGTTGACAGATTTATCCTCCCTCGGATATTTTCTTATCCCCATTAATAATATAAAAGCTTTCCACATGAAGAGTGTTTTTTCTCTACATTCGTATTTAAAGTAGAAAGTTTGTCATGTTTCAGTAATTGAACAATTAGTAAAGGATTTTGTTTATAGTTAACTGCCTACAACTGTATCAATGAGCATATGTAAAATTTAAATAAGATTCTTTAACTTTGATGAGAAAAACTTAAAAATTTAATGCTGTGTATATCTCTATAAATGTACCTGAAATCACCGTAATTTATTTGTATTTAGTTTATGTATCATACAATCAGATTATTTTTTACAGATATCTTTTAACATTTTGATAGTTTGTTATATTTTTCTTTAAGGAGTAACAGCTTTTCTTTCTAAAATACCAATTATAAGCCTGCCTCATTGTTTTTGCAATCATATTAGTATATAGAAACTCACTTTTATATATTTCATATGAACGGCAGATCTCTAGATTATCGTATTTACTATTTTTAATTGATTTAGATACTATAATTGTGATTCAAAGCCCTGTGATACGAGACTCGTTACTTAAAATGGCATTTTTGTTTTATTTTATGTCACTTGTTTTTATCACTTGTTTCAGATGTCTTTTTGTCATTTTAGTGTTGGTTGTTAAAGAGAAATAAAATTTAGAACTGTAATTTCTGCTTTGTATTCTTATGTGCCCCTGCTGCAGTTTTTTCAACTTTGTCTTTTTAGTTCAATGTTTTTGATTTTTTTTAGATAAATACCATTGCTTTTGATGAAAGGGAGATAACTCAGAATATGTTTAATCAAGTGGTTTTGTTCCTTACAAAAGGAGCTAAATAATTATTTTTCTAAGGTTCTTCAGGAGGATTTATACAGTACCTGTTTTGTCTATTCTAACCATTTGTTAGGGACGACTGACTGTTATTTTGGAAGCTTCATTACCAATAACAGCTGTACATATTTGCAGCATGTTTCATTGATCCTTGGATACCTTTTCATCTGTCATTCTTGTACAGATTATTTCTTAGCAACCACTGACTGGAGTACATAGAAACATTATAAGCAGCTTCACTATCATGAGGTGAACATTTCAGCTACATGTCAATATAATACTAGCACTTTATCTTGTAAAGTAATTAAAAGAAAAAAATTCTAATTTGCCAATTGTGCGTATTTTCCCTTATAGGCATAAACATCAAGGGATTTTCTTTCTTCACAGCTTTCAATCAAATATTGACTATGGTGTTACTATTAGTTACCATTGCCTTGTTTCAAATCGGGGTTTAAATTTACAAAATAAATGTACCACTAACATTTTGTGCTAACCCTTAGCTTGCTGGAGGAAACAGATTCTACCCATGTAAACCAGTGCAGACTCAATCAGCCCACCTATGGTCTGTACTGTTCATTATTCAGTCAGTACACATCTTAAAATTTTCCCTAAAAATGATAAAAAAGTGGTTATGTCCAGATTAAAAGATGGACAATTCAATTAAATAAATTCAGCAAGTTAAGGGCTAAAAAGACTGTTCCTGAGTGACACAGACTTGGTAATTAATGTTTCAGTAATATTAACCAAAACATAATATGATTTTCATTGTTTTATTACAAAGATAAATGTCAGATCATTTTTAACCATGGTTATATTATAACAACATACAATCATCAGCAGTTAGTTATAAAATTACGCTTAAAAACACTAGATGTTATCACAGAAAACAAATGTTAACAATAATTTGCTATCAATAAAAAAGATTTTAAAAATCTGAATTTCTGTGGACATAAGATAAATATGATCATAACATACTTTTACCCTCACTTGTTTTAAAAAGATTAATTTTAAATAACTTGTGTTTTAACAATACGTAACAATACCAAAATATTGCCAAAAACTGTTTTCCTACACATTAGTCAGATTCTGTAAAGTAGTATTTTTCAGTTCCTTTGGGTATTAGAATTTCAACATACATCTATAAACAACATTATGCTTATAGTTATTATATAATTTTCTTAAAAAAAAAAAACCTGTTGAAACATAATTCTATTTCTTTTCTTTCTTTAATTTTTTAATGTAACAGATATTTTATACTGATAACAAGATTTTATCAATGCCCTGGTTGAGAAAATTCCTTTAAAACGCCTCCAAGTCTAATGCCAGCTAATTACTACATCCATTTTATAAAAGAATGAAAACTTCTACATCATATTAAACAATAAACATAATGAAAAAATTTGTTTCTAATTGTAACAAACAATTTAAAATGTTTAAGTTTTAAAAGTAAATTCCACCAGCTAAAATATTTTACAATTGCTCCAAACTTCATCTGCAGTGACAAATATCACATGACATTATTAAAATACTTGTAATAAGTTAAGCATTTTTATATTAAAAGTATATGTAACAAAACATATCATTATGTAACAAAAGATTAGCTCCACTTTTCTCACCTAGCGCTGCACTGTCACTTAATGACCAATTTTAGGTTTTGCTTCTACAGGTGACAGTGACCTTGACCTTTGGGCCTTTAAATTGGTGTGACACTTGATTCCTAAAGGATGTCACTCTGCAGAAGTTTTATTGTATTGTCAATGTAATTCTGTTGTTGGCACCATACACAAAAACTTAACCAAAAAGCTTAACCAATGGCAACGCAACTAATTGGATCATGGCAATAGCTCTGCCTTTTCTCGAAAAAATGGAGCTTAAACTCATTAAGAGGTATCACAGATTAAATAGTTTACTTGGACCCAAGTAATTTAATACAATAAATGGACGGAACCTTCTAAAAATCAAAAACTGTATAAAATGGTTTATCCTTATAGAATTATAAAATAAATAATTGCATATAAATATCATGAAAAAAGTACATAAAAAGGCATTCATTTATCTTTCTTGATATTTTAAATTTACCCCAGTTACAGTTTTTTTTTGGCAAACTCACTCGCACTTGTAACAATGTTCATGTATTGAAACTCTAGTGTTACTGCAATAAAAGTTGAAAACATGAAATTTTTGCATGAATTATAGCTATCAGCAGTCAAAATATTTCTACAAGGACATCTCTCATAATTTACACAAACTGTAAACTAGTTGTCCTAAAACATCTATCTCATTCATATGATGCTGTGAATAGATAAACAAGAATTGTATCAAAATCTGATATTGCCAAAGATTTTTTAAAAAATCTGACTTTGTCAAAGTTCTCAAAGATCATAATATTTTCCAGGTTCTCAAAGATTAAAAATTTTCCAAGCTGTAATATTGTCCAATTTCTAAAACAAATCAGAAATGTAATTTTTTCAGAAAATTCATGTTGAGCAAGTAACCCAAAGGGAAGACTAGTTTTTATTTATTTCCCAACAGGGGTTTTTTGGTGTTTTTTGCTTTAAGTGTGGCTTGGTGTGAGCCTTTGGGGTTTTGTGTTGGTGTGTCTTTTTGGTATGTGTTGTCCCCGTTTTTTTTTTTTTCAATTGTTCAATGTAAAAACTAAAGTAAAATATTGAAGAAAAAACCCTCAAAAAAAGTACAAAATTCAAGGAGAAAAACTTAATTTGCGAGAACAACATTCTCAGATTTTGTCACAGAATAGATCATCTAAATTATGTACATATTGTCTTGAGGTAACTTATCTGTGTTAAACAGCAAAGTTTATACTTTGCACCTCAATGTGTTTATTTATTCAGGCATTGTCACAAAAGGTTTTGTATTTAATTTAGTAAGGAAAATATTTAGAAAAAATTGAGTATATCTAAATAAATCAATAATGCTACTTAACAAAATATGCTAAGCACAAATGCAACACTCCCGAATTTTGCATGTGACACAGATATGTGGTGGTTTTATTATCTCTTACCTTGACCTTTAACATACTGACCTTGTAAGTGAACATTTCCATTAAGTTATATATAATTTTCATCATAAGAATACATGTTATAATTTATAGCAGTATTGTATTGTAAATGTTGTTATAGGTCAGTGGCCAATATAAATATTGTTATTGTAAAATCCCTTCTTGCATCGCAAGTGACCTTGACCTCCTTGCGTAAATTATGTGAGTATTGCACAGTCCCATGTTGGTTAACATTTATGATTCCTAATCACTAAATAGTCACCACATACATTTTCATATCTTTACCCAACATCTATATGTGACCTTGACCTAGAAACCTAGTTAAAGCATGTGACACTATGTTAGTGGAGAACATTTCTATCAATTTATTCCTAAAATCCCTCCATGCATGTACAAGATAGGCTCCACACAAAACCAGACTCCACTAGCCAGGACACCTGAGCATAAAATTAAATATATATTATAATAATATATAAATACTTATAAAACTCTTTTTTTATACAGTAAAGGAAACTACCTTTACATTATAAGATAACTGACCTTTGTGTTTTTAAATAATTTCTAAGATCTCCAACAGTGTCATTAAACTTCATTTTCAGGATATATGTGTGGTTACCATCCTCAGACTTCACTCGTAGTGTAGTTATATCTCGAGGTGTAAATGGTCGCCCTGCATCATCACCTTCCAATCTATAATAATATAATATACACATTTACACTGTCTTCAGATTGAATAAATAGTTTAACACCTATCAATGTGATCAGCAGTTTATTATAGTATTTTACCATCAGCTGTCAGTGTTGTCTGGTTTGGCTGCATGTTAGCAACTTTTATCGTTAAAAATCAAAATTGCTTTATACATTTTTAGAACAGTTCTAAATACAACACGGATTAATCGTTAAACCATTGCATACATTCAGGAGTGTATGGATTAATGATGCTTCTGACTGACCTTAAAGGTATTATCAAAAATACTGACATTATAGATGGCTTTTAGCCAATGAATTTTAACTTCACTTATATGTTAATAATCTCCTCTAAAAAAATGATTATAGGCCCTCAAGTTTGTCATATAGAATTAGAAATCATCATTTTTTTCTATAAAATGTTAAAAACTAATCACAAACCTCTTTTTCATCTCTAGCACAGTATCTGTTTCAACCACTGTTAAATCTGTTTGACTATTGACTCCGCCCTAGTGAAAATTTGTAGAAAACATAAAAAACATAATATGATTTTGCTTGCTTTACATTCATTTCAAAAGTTTTGTGTTTAAAAAGCAAAATAATACCACACAATTCATGTATAATATTCTATATATTAATCTGTTCAAAAATAAATCTTTACTTAACATCTGTAAACTTCTCTTAAAAATTTTGTTTTGATATAGATTTTACATAGCAATTTATTTCATAACCTGGTGACTTTTTAAGGGTCAATTCAATGGGTGTTGCTTTGTCACAGACAAATTATAACTCATTTACTTTTTCATCAAGTTTAATTGTGACAAAAGCTGCCAGCATCTTTAAATCCCTGTAGTCCTAATACTCAACAAAGTCATCACTCTCCTTGCTGACTGTCCAATTGTTATTGAAGGAAAACTACAGATATCCCACCATGCTTTATTTCAGGCAATAGCTTGCACCTCAGAATTTAAATTTATCTCCCAAAACTTTCCTGGATAATTTCAAACATACCTGAATTGTTCCTCCCACAGAACTTCTTATATCAATCACTTTCCCTGACTTAATCACAGATCTTGGTAATTTTTGTAGAAATTGTTCGACAGTCAACTGTGGTCCTGGTTTTTCACTAGTTGTCTCCCTTGCATCTCTGTCTGGTTCTGAGGTTTGTGTTGAAGAAACTTTGCTATCCTGTAATTTTGTGGGTACCAGTCTAGAAGGTTTAGTTTCCCCACCCAATGTTTGTCCTGCACCAGTAAATATTTCTGCTCTTTTATCTTCAAAATGCTTCTCTCTTTTGTCTGTTACCTACAGTAATAAATCAACAAATATCAACCAAAATAATAATGATTACACATTACCGGTATATAAAAACACGGAAACAGTCTTTTCCAAGCTTTAATAACAAAATAACCATTGCTTTAAAAACTTAAACTGTGGTCTACATACTGTTAGCTGACTTGCTTACTTCAATAATTTTGATATTTAAAGATTCTTCCATGTATGATAAAAAGCCAGTTTTCTCTTTACCAGTAACATAGATAAACTTACAAAAGATGGAATTATACTAGCCAGAAAACTTCCAAAACATAATGCCAGCTTGGCAATAGCAGTCCTTGCATATTATATAGTTAACCTATAGTTAACTTATAAAATTAAAGAATACAACTCAAATAATTGACCCACATAATATTTCTGTATCAGTATAGATGAAAAAATAACTTGGAAGAAAGAAAATAAACAAGTAAATGACTTACATTAAATGGCACACCATCTGGATATCTACCTTGTAGTTCACTAGGAAAGTAACCATCTAATACATCCTTCAGGAATGCCTGTGTATGTGTATCAGTAAATGGTCTAAATGGACCATTAAACATAAATATACCATTAGCATAAACTGTTAGCTGTACGGCATCCGGCATCTAAAATAAATATAATTTACATAATTAATAATTTGACATAACCTACAACTGAGTGAATGGTAGTCAGTTCTATCAACTTATATAATTTCATAAACATAAAACTAACTAGAAGAAGTTTTTGTCTCCCAAATTAGGTATGGTACTGATCACTACTGTGAAGTTTCATTGAAATCCCCTAAGAAGTTTAGCCTGAAAGCCTGACAAGATTTTTCTATTTTCAGCTCTGCCATTTTGTGCAAGCCGAACATGCAGGCAATATGCCAAACTATGCAAGATACTGATCACTCCTGTAAAGTTTGGTTGAAATCCCACCAGCAGTTTGACCTGTGAAGGCTGGACAAGATAATTATACATGTACAACACAGTAAATTTAGTTGCCATCTGAACCATTCAAAAATCATATATCATAAGCATTTAAAATCTATAAGATTAACAGTTTTCTTAACATTTCTATCATTGCAATTTAACCTTTTACAAGGTGAATCTTAGACATATTTTGGGACCATCAAAGATTATCTTTTAATAATATAAATAGATGTATCATGTTATTTACCTTTAATCTAGCACCATCTTTTGTATGTGTTATTGAGGCGACACCGTCACCAGCTAGAGCATTCAGATCTTTTAGATTCTCAAACAAACGGTTATAATCTACACGGAATGTTGGTTGCTGGGATACTGATGATGCTGTTGAATAACACAGATTTATAATTTATTTACCTTGATGTACTAAAATGTCAGATTTTAACAATTACAAATAAAAACACGATATTCTTCATTTTTTTTAATCTTTCTTTTCTGAAATTCAGTCAGTTCAAAGAATAAGACTCAAAACGGATAAATCTTGTTTATGCGAATTTGCACAAACCTGTTTCACAATCAAATTTAAATTAATATGATTAAACAAGTTTAATTAGTTAAATCAAGTACTTATCAGTAAATATATCTTACAGAAATGTCTCAATATCTTAGCCAACATTTAATCATCTAAACTAGTAAAATATCAATTAAATATCATACAAAACACGCATAGTGAAAAGAAATTACAAGAACTTGGCAAGAAAAGACATCAATCCCTGAAACTTACAGAAATGAAACAATAAACAGAATATACCTTGTCTCCAGAGAGGATCCCCATCATCATCACTATCATCATCTGAACTGTCTGCTGATTGATTACCTACCCATATCATACCATAGTCTGCCAGAAATGTCTGAAAACATTAATGACATACAGTACATAATGTAAGTAAAGGAAGAAAGTAAACCTTGTATGATAGTGACACGAGTATACAAACACACATTTTACATTACAGTGAAAAAACCTAGCACACTGGAGTGTGAAACCTATTGACTGAAGAAAAATGTTCCACTGTGATCCTTTCATAATCACCATTTTAGCTACCCCAAAGAAAACATTTCAAAGAAAAACATATCTAATGGCTATAAGTATGTCTGCAAAGGTTTTATATTCAACAATTTTCTTGATAAATCTGGGAAACTTTACAAAAGACCTGAGGCAAATAATTAAAACAAAAGGCCCTATAAAGCAAACAGAGATATGAGAAATATTTATTTTAACAATCAGTAACAAATTTACCTCCATGTCTTGTATTTGATCCTGTAAAACATAACATTTGTTCTCTAATGCAGCTATTTGTGTGTGGGTGTCTGACTCTGTAACATAGGTAAGAATATTATATGTTATTTTGGTTTTGGAGTGATATATGTGGATATATTACCTGGCAAGATTTTATATCACCCGAGCCGTCAGGCGAGGGTGATATAAAATCTTGCCAGGTAATATATCCACATATATCACTCCAAAACCAAAATAACAATTTTATTACCCTTCCATTGCCTAGTACGATTTTAAAATAAATCATTGCTATTTCAATTAAAACGTCGAAATAAGATTCCCTTTAGGGTACCTCTTCACCACAACATGACGTCACATAAATACATGACGTATTTGCTTTCGTACCTAACGAATGTAAACAAGAGAAAAGGAGTAGTCTGTTGAAGACACTTTTTTGTAATTAATATCAAGCATTGGCAAGGCCATTTTTGTTTTCAATACTGATGAGAATATTTATCATTACTTTCTTTTGGTAAATATTTTTTATTTGACATTTAAAAAGTGCTTGTATATCGGAATTCACACCGCGTAAAATCGAACCGTACGCGCATCGCCACAACGCATGTTGTTAACATCGTGGGGTACCCAACGGGTATATTTAGTGTGTATATTACCCGTCTGGCTCGGTAATATCAATTTCTTTCGACGGATCAATATCCAATCAAAAAGGTAGAACAAATCTTGAAGGGTAATAAAGTTATATATTTACATTTAATACAACATGTTTGTAACATTATTTTTTCTTTCGCATGGGCCCATTCGTACATTAAGTTTATGTGTTTGCATACACCTGGGTGAAATTAATGACCATTTATGTGGTTGCTTAAAAAATACCTTGATAGTTACAGGGCATGAAAGAATTTAACGCCAATGGTAGGATCTAATCCCAAATCAGGGAGAAGCTGCAAGTGATTTGAAATTAATGAACTTAACCACTGGGTCATGATGAAAAAATCTCTTTCTGTATGCATATACATGTATGTTGTGTATATACAAGAAGTGTATATGTTAACCTAATAAGTACATCTACATATACTTTTATATATATATATATATATATATATATATATATATATATATATATATATATATATATATATATATATATATATATATATATATAAAATATGTTTTAGGAAATGCCGAGTACAAAGTTCTTTAATTTTTTATACGTTTATATCTGTTAGCGCTTTCAAATGTTTCTACATATCTTCAGACAGTAACGTATACGTTATTGTTATTCATATTATATAATAATATTATATAAACAATTATAGTTATATTATATTGAAAGCGCTAACAGAAATAAACGTATAAAAAATTAAAGAACTTTGTACTCTGCATTTCCCAAAACATATTTTTTTTATACATGAGATCCACACAAGGAATCAAACTTCTTTTTTTTTTATATATATATATATATATATAAAAATATACCATATCACTATACCAATCTGGCTGCAACAAAAAACTTAACACAACATAAGATATTATTGCACATACATACCCAGGTAATGCGTAAAAATAGACACTATGATTACATACGGTACATGTATATTGTAATAATTATGAATACACAAGTTTTTTACCTTGTGATTTCTGTAACAATTTAACTTTTTCTGTAAGCACCTTGATCTTTTTATTCTGTAATAGCAAGAATAATATTTAAAATAATGTTCCAATTAAATTATACCAGTACTTCTTTTAAAATTAGTACATATTATTATTAATTAACCAAATAATCTACTTTAAGGTAGAGTCTGTTATCACAATAAGAAGTTATCATTTATGATATCAAGTAACAGAATAATTTTCATGAGATACATGTATTGACACGATGTTCTTTAATATTCTTGTCTTATATGATAAAATCAATCCTCGTTATTTATCTTCAACAAATGTTATTAGATAAGTGTGTTGACATGCAGTTTTTGGGGGTTTTTTTTTGGTTTTTTTTTACACAAGTTCAAAGGGAGATAATTTTTACACATGTGTTACAGTTATTAACATTGTCAGATATGATGCTGGTGATAAGGAACAACTATTTAAAATCATGAAGTAAAATCTTTATGTAAAAAAATATTACTGTACAAGGTTTTTAAATATCTAAAATCTTGATGAGAACAATTCTCCTAATACAGTTAATAGTAGGCTGCTTTGAAAGATTGAAGTAAAAAGTCTGTAAATTCAACCAATTTCTACCTTTTCATTCAGTTCAGAAGCTTGATAAGCGACCTTGGATTCTAGTTGTGTAATTCTACTCATCATGGTAGACATCAGCTCATGGTCACTTGGGCCTCCTGTACCTGTATAATATATTTGTTTATATCTTTATATTATTATTAGGGGGCAGGGGACCTAAAAATGAAAAATTTTGTATTTCAGTGTGACCAGAAACACAATTCCAAATATTTCAAAATCTGTTTCACAGGCAGATTACCAGTTGCACAACATTATTCAATGATATATGACATACATTGAAGAAAATAATAGTTTGCATGCATTGCTCCTTCAAAAAATGACTGACAGCAATTTATATTTACCCCCACCCAGCCAAAATCACACCTAAAATATACCAATATGGGCAATCTTCATGAAGGTGCAGCATACTCCAGAATCCGCCCGATTCCTTAAAAAATATCAGTAATACGCAGTGCAAGCTATAGCATTTTCAGAAATGACAAATAAAGTGTCTGTCATACGTTTAGATTTTTCACAAAATTTATCTGAAATTTCTTACTTGTTTGGCGCCAACTGTCAAAGCTTGATTTTTAACTTTTTCACCTCCATTCGGAGAGTCAGAAATACATACAAAGCTACCAAAATGCTTAGTTTCGGGTAAAAACCCAAAAATATATCTCATTTCCTACACACAAACAAGAAAGAATTACAATGACAGAGAAATATCAGAAGTTATCAGTACCTTCAAAACACCATGTCTGAGTTATTAAAAAATTTGACCGGGGCCATCATACGAATATGTCCCCTGCCCCCTTAAGATTTTTTATGTGATCCGCATTAAAGCGTTTCCTTTTATTTTCTTAAAATATGGAGTATTTCGCATTAAACGTTAACTTCGAAAAGTGAATACTGCGGTTACTTTGTATTTAATCAAATATTTAAAAAAGACCCTATTTCAGGGGAAGTAACTAGTACAATGACCATGCCTGTTATATGATTTACTTAATATCAAGTGCCAGGAACCTGTGAGATGGTTATTTTTCTGTATTCCACCTTCATTTTAATACCATAAAGTATTTTCAGAGTATTTAAAGTCTTTTGGAAGGAGATTATAGCAAGAAAAACAATATTACAGCCACATTTAATGTCCCAAAATGAATTTTACAGCAAACCAGACCCCATTTACACATAAATGTGCAGTAAAGATACCACTGTTGACTTATATGACATTATATACATTTGTAACAATTGAAAGTGCTCAATTATGCATTATTATGTCAATTTGCACAATATAAAACTGTTTAATCTGGATAAATGTGCACATTCTGTGAAGTACAGTGTTTGCCAAAATTCCAAATTTTTATTACCTCCCTTGACTTGACAGTCTACTTACTCTACATAACTTGATAAATCCTACCAGTCACTTCAAATTTTGACTAACAAATGTAGAAGGAATGTTTATGGGCACATTTGGGTCAATTCCAACACATTTTATAAATTTGAAAATTTCCTTAAGGGGGCAGGGGACCTAAAAATGAAAAATTTTGTATTTCAGTGTGACCAGAAACACAATTCCAAATATTTCAAAATCTGTTTCACAGGCAAATAACCAGTTGCTGCAAACAGCATTATTCAATGATACATGACATACATTGAAGAAAATAATAGTTTGCATGCATTGCTCCTTCAAAAAATGACTGACAGCAATTTATATTTACCCCCACCCAGCCAAAATCACACCTAAAATATACCAATATGGGCAATCTTCATGAAGGTGCAGCATACTCCAGAATCCGCCCGATTCCTTAAAAAATATCAGTAATACGCAGTGCAAGCTATGGCATTTTCAGAAATGACAAATAAAGTGTCTGTCATACGTTTAGATTTTTCACAAAATTTATCTGAAATTTCTTACTTGTTTGGCGCCAACTGTCAAAGCTTGATTTTTAACCTTTTCACCTCCATTCGGAGAGTCAGAAATACATACAAAGCTACCAAAATGCTTAGTTTCGGGTAAAAACCCAAAAATATATCTCATTTCCTACACACAAACAAAAAAGAATTACAATGACAGAGAAATATCAGAAGTTATCAGTACCTTCAAAACACCATGTCTGAGTTATTAAAAAATTTGACCGGGGCCATCATTCGAATATGTCCCCTGCCCCCTTATACTTCCTAGTCATAATGTTCCATAAACATGAAATCTACACATTACCATATTGTATATTATAAACACATAGAATTAACAAAGGGAGGCTTAAATCTATTTAGAGGTCAAGAAAACTGTTTACCATTAGGTGTGAAATAAAAGAGGGTTCATGCACTTATTTTCATGCATTAACATCTGCAGAATCACAAGGACGAGAACACATTTAAAGCTTGAGCCCCAAGGACAAGGGATTTAGTAAGTCTGAGGGTTCTGCAGCTGATAATGCATGGAAACAGGTCCATTAGCATTATGCAATAAAAGTATATGTCTAATTGGACAATGCTGCCTTTTGTTTTTAGAAACCATTGATTGTGCCACACTTTACATATGCTAGTGCGATGTCATTTGGCAATTTTCACAGCCAAAACTAGAACTATACTGCGGCCAGTGCCATCATTATATTAACCTGCTGTTACATTGCACCCCAAGTCACGCTTAACAAAAAATGTGCAACAACGGGTTGTGGTCGTTAATGCATGTGTTCTTCTTGGTTAATGTATACCTGTGTACACAGTTATTATGCAAAAATAGTTTTTACTTGTTTTGAACTGTACTACAGTTGAAAGAAATTACTTATCACACTTTTAGATAATTATGAACATTGATGGTTCACTGTGTCATATAGACAATCATTGACTAAAATTAACTAATAAATTAACTTAACATTAATTTGTATAATAGACTTACAATGCCTTGAATTTGATACTGTAGAATTATTTTACAATTTGTTGTTGCTGTTTTTTTTAATTCAAAATTTTTGTACAGGCTGGCATGATACTACACTGATGTACATACTGTAAACTGATGTAATGATGATTCTATATGCTTATAAAGACAGACATTATTCTATACAGATGTACAGACTGGCTTTATTTTATACAGAGGTGTACAAACTGGCATTATTCTATTTAGATGTACAGACTGGCATTATTCTATACAGATGTACAGACTGGCATTATTCTATACAGATGTACAGACTGGCATTATTCTATACAGATATACAGACTGGCTTTATTCTATACAGATGTTGTACAGATGGGCATTATCATTCTATACAGATGTACAGATTAGCATTATTCTACACAGATGTACAGACTGGCATTATTCTATACAGATGTACAGACTGGCATTATTCTATACAAACGTACAGACTGGCTTTATTCTATACAGATGTACAGACTGGCCTCATTCTATACAAATGTACAGACTGGCTTTATTCTATACAGATGTACAGACTGGCATTATTCTATACAGATGTACAGACTGGCATTATTCTAAACAGTTGTACAGACTGGCATTATTCTATATAGATGTACAGACTGACATTATTCTATACAGATGAACAGACTGGCATTTTTTTAAAAAGATGTAAGACGGGGCATTATCTATACAAGTAAGACTGGTTTTATTCTATACAGTGTACAACGGGGCTTATTCTAAAATTGAAACAGACGGGTTTTTCTATAAGAGACAGCTGCTTATTCTATACAGATGAAAAGCTGCATTATTCTTAACGAGAAAACAGCTTATTATTAATTTCTAAACAGATTTGTACGATTTGCTTATTCTATACAGATTTTTACAGACGGCTTATTTTTTTAGATTACAACGGCTTATTCTTACGTGTCCAATCTTATTTTATACAGAGTAAGACTGGGTCTATACAGATGGTCTAGTTTTGGCCAATCTTTTTTTCTATACTGCATCTATACATTAGAATGTGTATGAACTGTTGGCAAAAAGTACAATATATTTCTCTAATATTTGTCACCTGTAAATATTGTATTAGTTATTTTACAAACACATGTTAATTTTACACATAAACAAGTACCTAAATGAAAGAAATAAGGGAAGAATTAAGAATCTAACAGTGATCAGTCGGAAGAAATGTGCAAAAACAAATTAATTAAGGTGTCAAAGTGCATAACTGTTATAGAAACAGATGAACAGATCTGTCTTCTGTGTAACTATTTTAACTTTTAAACCAAATTTGTAACTTGTAAGAAATTTCTAGTAGACTGTACTATGACTATCATTTTTGTAATAAACTATAAAGGAACATGAAATATTAAACAGCCTCAACAAATAACTATACTGTACATTCCTTGTTGTATTTTGTACTTCAACTTGGCAAACTGACTTTCTACAAGTTATTATAGGTATAAGCAAATTATATAAAGCAATTCTTTAACACTGCAAAAGCAGAAACAAACTGAAATTTGTTTCATATTGAGCTTAAACCATATACAATGTAAGATAATGTAGATTCTTTAGCAAATAAATTAGCGCTATGTATAACATTATACATATTTGAATAAAAGAAAATTTATATTGGACTTAAGATTCTAACTACAGGGAATATAACTTAAACTTAATAAACAAATAATCTAAAATCATACTGCTGGCCAGATGAATCTATTTAACTGACAGAATAAAGCTTAATGAATAAAATATGAAATATGAGTTTAAAGGGTTCCCAACACCACAGGAGAAGAGGATTTTATTGTACATAGTTCTGTAAATTCTGTTTAAAAAAAGGGATCAAAGGTTTATCAGAACACTGACATTACTTATATCTGTCATAAAACGATGCTCAGCGTGTGGTTATAAGTAACTATTGCATATTGTTTTTTCTCTTTAAAAAACAAAACAACAAAAACTCCACTTAAGGTGTTTTTTTGACATGACAAGACTGGATTTTTTCTCTCTAGATTTATGTTTCATTTAGTGAGGCCTAGAGCAATAACTTGGGTGCAAAATTTAAGATCATTTGCTCACCGCGTTTTTCCAGAATTTCAATTATTCTGTGAAAAATGACCCATAATTGAAAAACATTGCAATACTTTTCACTCAAATAAGACTTAGAATAGCACAAAAATATGATTTTCATTTATTTCTGACTATATTTTAAAATTATCTTTTGCATATCTTTCTGTTTAAAATGCCCCCTGCTATGTCAGACATTAAAATTTTATACTTTTAGTACTTTTAGGCTTTTGAGCCTCTGTAGAATTTCTTTCACTTAAAAAAAATTCTGAGACAAAATTTTAAGAACTATGCACATATTAATTACCTAAATAGAGAATGATGATTAAGGAAACAAGTTTTTGTTGTTGTTGCTGTTAGAATGGATGATGGGATACACACTATAACTTACTCTGTGAGTCATCTAAGTCAAGGCTAGTTAAATATGACCCTGACCTTTCTATATCTGAAATTCATGGACATCTTTAGTTTATAGTTCAATCAATATGTAAATTAGTAAAAGAAAATAACCAGCACTGCTTTTAACATTAATTTATACAGTCATAAATTTCCTCTTGTCAACAGACAAGATCTACACAAGTAAGAGTTAAAAATCAATTATTCATAAATGAAATTTTCTATGAAAGAAATGCAAACCTGTTAACTCAAACAAAACAAAAACTGCTGTAAGCTGTTAGTAATGTCTGCAACCTCGAAAAAATTGTTCTTTCATTTAAAGTGACCAACTATATCTGCTTTATTTACAACCAATTAACCAATAACACTGAGATAAATAAAACATGCAGGTGAAAGCTACTGTTTCCCATAAAGCAGTATTAAACATTCCAGTATGAGGCAGAAATGCACCCCTGACCTACCCGATGTTCTGTGAGTGTTTGCTGTACCAAAACCTTGTGCCATTCTGGGTGATAAATCAGGAAGTTTAGGTAGACCACCAGTAAATGGATCTCGTGTTTTGAGTCGTTGTGAAGCCATACCTCCAGTGATTTCTTCCAGTAGTTTACTCTCATCATCTACGTAAATACAGTACCAGTAACGAAACAATGACATCATCATCATGATTTAATCAGGAATGTACATATTTAGACTGTTTTCTGAAGTCATGTTTACTAATATTTAGACAATATAATTGACATGACAATATAATGAGAACATTGAACTGCTTGTTGATATACAAGACATTTGTGGAAGGATGTAACGCTATTACTGAAGAAGTATATATTGTATGAATTTCAAAATTTTATACATTCACTAATACATGTGTAAAATATTATAAAGCTAAATTTCTGTGGGTTTTAGGAATGGTTTCAATCAATGTCAATTCACAACTTTCACAGTAATTACATGTATATACATAATTCTTTTGTAATATTTTTCACAGGACCTATGGTGAAAATGTTTAGATTAAAAGTTAAAATGAAGAGATAATTCTTTCAATTTTGCTACTTTAATATAAATCTTGCAAAAACCACATTTCTGCTAATTACACGGTAACAGCTTCGTTTTAACGTAAAAATAAAATTTCAATAAGCTTGTCATTAACTAAGACAAAACAATGAAGAATATTGACATACCTGAATATACTGGGTTCCTAAATGGCATAGGTCTTTGTCTATAATATAAAATATAAAACTTTATAACAAATGATAAATTATTAATTATATAATCAAAGACATTAACTCAGCATTAACAATTCAACTTTCTTTTTATAATAAAATGTTTCTCAGTTATCTCAGTTATATAATTATTTTAATATTGTGGATGAATTGCACTTGTCTTCACACAAATTCTCTATGTGATTGATTTAACAAAGGTATTATATAATCTGATATATCACAATTATATATATTGTATCAGTAAAGTGATGGCATACTGAACTATTTTTCAAACATCTTACACTCACTAGTATGGCAGTTCTACAAACAACATGTATTGGAACAATTTATGTTCAGTTAACTAACATAATTAAAAAGGTTTCAAAAAAATAAATGTTAAAGACCTCCTATAAAACTGCAAAGATAATTACCTCTTTTTAAGAGGCTTATATATGTCAGCAATATCAAAGAAATAAAACCTGTTTCTACTAGTGAATGATCCTCACATTTCATATTTGATTACCGGTAAGTAAAGATTTCATTTTATTTTGAGATTTTCATTTGCTTAAAATAATACTAATTTTTACCAACAGATTTTAACACAAAATCCCATGCCAACTAAACCCAACATTGATTTTTTGGGCAGATTTACCCCTTTTACTTGATCTTTTCCTCAAAAAAATTAGATTTAAAAACCTTTTATAAAAAAACAATGTGAATAATTTAAAAACTTTAAACAAAGACACAAATTAATAAAAAAATTTCAATTGTTTAAACACAAAATTTTTCTGAAAATTAACCTAGAAAATTTTGTTAATTGGAAAGACCGCGGTCTAATATTAAGTAAAGGTTTATTCTCCTTTCTTTAGTTAACTATATACTTCTGTAATAGCCCAAGGTTCCACTTAGAAAGTAGCATTACTAAATCGAAATTAAATAGAATATACAAACCCAGCATTTGTAAATGGACTTTTGTGCTGTTTCTTCAAACTTGACAGTGGGCTACTCATGACTGAAATAAAGATATTGGCATTTCTTTCAATGAAGATTTAATACATATATTTACTGAAATTTACATTTATTTGTTTTAAGTTTATGCAAGTTCATGCATCTTGTGTCACATAGAAGTTGGTGACATTCCAGTGTATGAGATTCAGAGTCAGACACAGAACAAAAATATCTCAGAATCTAGCTTTGGCATATCAAAATATTTTGACTACGATAAAAAAGTAGTACATTCCACGGTGGTTTAGTCTGGCTTTATATGTTTCATACGAGTCGTCAAGATAGTGAAACAGTTAAGGAGAAATAAATATATTTATCTAATAAAAATGGTAAGGTATTTGTTCATCAGTGATATTTTTCATAAATTTCTGAGCACTGCTATTCTAACAATGATCAACATAAAATCATTCGTTTCCATTAACAATAAAAATCAAAATTAACTTTTAAAACATTAAATTATACGAAAATCTGCTCATATTTGCATGACTCTGACTTATTATCAAGAAGCGTAGAAGCCTAGAGGTCCATGGTAGATTGATGTCCGATTCAAGTTTATCCGAAACTGCAGTCATTACGTCTGAATCTGGTACGATAGAAATAGTGGCATTTGTTATTAAAAATTAATTTTAAACAGTAAAGTATACATACCTTAATGTACTGATCAGGTTATTTCTGTTAAAATGTCATACAGTATGAGTTAAACGTGAATCTATATCAAACGATCAAGAATTGTTTACAGTGGATATTGTTTACAGTAACACCGGATGTGACATATTTCCGCGCGAAATTCAAAACAGGTGCTTTTTGCTCTTTAATGTTAAGTTTGGATGAAATCCGTAAATAAATAACTAGTTACCTTTTTTAACAAGTTTCAATAATATGTCATGGTCATTAATGGTCAAGGTCAAGTTTTAATCAATATCTTGAAGAGTAGTTTTCTCTGTATTAAGACAATTCATTCATAAATTAATTACAACCTTATAGATCTAGCCACAGATAAATAATCTAGCTAAATATTACAAAAAAAAAAATAAAATAATAAGCACATTTGTTTGGCCATCAAGTTCAAGGACATTTTTGAGTTAAGGTCTAGTCTACTTGAAGGACAAAATTCAATCATTTGACAGTCAAGGACATTTAAAGGTCAAGGTCATATCTAAATTATTCATCATGTTTGTTTGATCACATATGTTGTTTTGTCCGGGTATAAATCAAATCCGTACATAAATAACAAAATTATGACTACTTAACCAAAATTCAATAGATCTACTTTGACCTTGATGGTCAAGGTCATTTTAAAGCTCAAGGTAACTTCAAAAAGGTTGTTTTGTCCAAAAATAAAAATAATCAATTGATTAATTACCAAATTACAGCTAATTATAGTAATAATCAGTGAAAATTAAGTAATTTGACCTTCAAGGTCAAGGTCATACATATGAGTTAATGTCAATTTGAGTCTGATATACATGAAGGTCCTGGCAAAAATGATGTTTTCTAAATATGAAGTTAATCCATTTATAAATTACAAAGTTATAGCCAGTTACAAAACAAACCAAGAGAATTTCATTAATTTGACCTTGACAGTTAAGGTCAATTTAAGGTAAAGATCACATGTAAGATATTCAATATGTTCGTTAGGTGGCAAGTCTTGTTTTGTACAAGTTTGAATCAAATCAGTACATAAATAACAAAATTATGACAATTTAACCAAAATTCAAATTTTACCTTGATGGTCAAGGTCAATTAAAGGTCAAGGTCAGTTCAACCTTTAAGAAGGTCTTGTCCAAAATGCTGTTTTGTTGAAGTATGAAAATAATCCATTAATTCATTAATCACCAGGTTAAATATAGTAAAAACCAGTGAAAATTCAATAATTTAACCTTCAAGGCCAAGGTCATAAAAGAGCCAAGGTCAATTTAAGTTTGATATACATGTTATGCTAAAGAATATTCTGTTATACTATGAAGTCAACACATTCATTAATAGCAAAGTCATAGCCAGTTACAGCAAAACAAAAAAAAAACATTCTATAATTTAACCTTCAGTATAGAATGAGCCAGGCTAGCCAGTACATCCATGTAGTCTGACCATGCTTTCTACAGATTACTGACCAACTTCTAGTTTTCTACTAATATCTACTTAATTAATAATGGACAGGTACAAAAAAAAAGATGGACAAATCAATTTAGGAAATTTGTAGGTTTATGGGTTATATTTTAAAGCAGCATGCCTCCTGATTTCTGCTTATTTCATGAAAATTTCATCTAAAAGTAATATATTGTGAAGCAAACTTAGAAAATAATTTACACTTTGCAAACAGCACTTACAGTGGCGTAGCTACTATTAGGCCATGTACTCCCAGGCCTACAAGTTGGTTAAGAAGTTGATGTAGATAAGGTCAATTTACTGCCTATCTGTATACTTATCCTATATTTACAAACACAGTTGTAATCACTGTAGTGAATAACTAACTGTACATTCTCATTCATTCATGCATAATCACATCATTTTCATTCATCATTATTGAATTATGGGTAATGTCTTGTTCTTGTGGTGAGTTACTATGCTCGGTGAACTGTCTCTTGTTATGTCCTGTGTTGTTAAGTGATGTCCAATAAATATCTTGTATATTTGTAAAGTGAGAATGTGATTGGATGTGAGTGATTTCATATCATTTAATGCATGGGCAATTCACATTCCTTTTCTAAGGCAGAAATCATTTTCAAACTTTGCATTATAAAGTTAATTTCAGTAGTAAATCTTCATAGAACATTTTGAATACTGTATTTATCTAAGTCAACTTAACGTTTGTTCTTTATAGAACAGATTTTCTATTATTTTATATAATAGAGGTCAGCCAGTTGCACCTGTTAAGATCTGTTTCACTTTAAATAACTTAAATCTTATTCTTTGTATAAATAAGATTTTTTATTAACTTGACAATATTTTACTTTTCAATAAACTTTCAAAATGTTCATGAAAATTAGCATGAATCTGGAGGCATATTGCTTTAAAGGCATATGACAACATTTGTTGATATACTTAAGATGCTCCTTGATAATCAACTTATGCATAAACAGAAACCAGAGTAGTGCAAGTTAACTAAATTAGCTTCTTCATGTTTGTCATACAATAAAAGTAAAAAGATCCTTCTAAGTGACCTTGACAAGCCAGCAACAGAGGCTACTCCTATCCATTAGTAAAAGTCTGCCTCTTCATGTACCAGTGATACAAGTAATATGGTACATTTATTCCAGTCAATACTGGTACGACAGTTAAACATATCTACCATGTAACTATTTAATACAGAAATCTAGAATAAGAACATTCAGTGATGAACAATCTGTCCTGCATTATGAAGGCTCTTTACTACAAGTTTGTGATTTCAAAACATAATCCTTCTATATTGATAAGATCTTTTAGTGGCACAGGTCTAGTTAAAACTATCAAATGTAGCAAAAATTTACACTTATCTGTCCAATTACAAAACAACAGGTAGATTCTAATATATTGTGATTTTATTCATAATCAAATCATTTCAAACAATGTTTTATTTTACAAATGAATATAACCCTGATGACGACTTGTGAGGGTCAAAATGTTGGTTATCACCATTAAATAAACCTTAAAACTTATCCTGTATTGTTTGTTCCACTTGTATCATTTTTCTCAATATTTCAAAAATTCTACAAGAATTGCTAGCACACTGTCAATCTCCGTGTTGTATATAAATTATTTATGTTTTGCAGCTTCTAACAACTTAGGTAAAGCAACTGGTATAAACATATTGTTGTCATCAAGCATAAAAATAACGTTCCTATCAAAATACATGGTGACTTTCCCACAACGGTAAATCTGTTTGGCTTCATGAGTCTTTCCTGGTATAGGTAAAAACACCAGATTGTTTTCTTCAGCCTGAAAATAAAATTGATATCATTTAGTTATTATCATATTATTACTGAAATACATGCCATGATTAAATATTAAATTTTTCTGCCCATAGTTATACATGTACTTGTTTGATACTTTACATAAATAGAGTTAAAGGCTACTATCTAACAGCCTTCTTTATGAAATGATTCTAAAATACACTATAATCAACTTGATTATTTAGTTTTTGGAGCCGATAAGACATACAGACTGTAAATGGAATACATGTATTACTTTTTTACTTACATAATACTGTATAACTACAAACACAGACATTATTCTATTAATACAAATAAATTTCAAGAATTGTTTTATTTTACTACATGATGAGTAAACAATACCTTTCTCTCCACAAGCTCTCTGAAACTGCCAGGATAAGTTGATGATGTACTTTTTAGACTTGGCTGAAAATAAACAAACATGAAATATAAGTATAAGCAACCAAGACAAGTAACCTAATTGTCAGTACGGTTGAAATTTTGTAAATGAAATTGTTTGTATAATTTGTAGGTAATATGTAATCTAGTTTAAAATGCAACCACTTGATTAAATTTTTTTACGCATTCATGTCTTTGAAGATATTAACAATAAAATAATAAGATATTATAATTAACATTAATCAGCTAAATTAGTTAATGTTATCAATTAAGACTGTCATAGTTTAATATATACCTCTTGTGGTCCACCAACAGACGGTGAATTAGATCTTGATGTATTAGGATCTCCTATATTCCTACGTTCAGTGTGGGTGAAGTACGCCATATTCTCCTTTACACCTGGCTGGAAATGACCAGACACTGCACGATTCATCATATCCAGTGCCTTTGTAAACATCTCTGTAAGGAACAAAATTTATTACTACAATTAAAATCTACTTTGATAATACTAGGAAATAAAATATAAAAGTTCAAAAGAATGTAGTTTATTAATAGATCTACCTGAAATGATAGTTTGCATCATTTACCATTTAAATTTCTAAACTTCCTTAAAATATCTCTTTTGGGTCTGGATTTTGAGTGTAACAAAAATTATTAGCCATAATAGTTAGATGTTTGTCTGTGATTTTTTTTCTGGAATAAGTTTACATCTCTAAAGAATCACAGACAAATGATATTTAAATTTACTTGGAAGACTCAAACTCATAGAGGTGAGTGGCAAATTATTCAATAGTCACTGACAATTAGCACTTGCTTGGCTAATTAATAGAATTTTTAAATAAAAATATTTCACTAACCTTTTATAACTGGATGCGTAAGATATTGCTCTGTGAACACAGATTTCCAGCCTAGATACCACTTGGTTACCTCATCATAATTTGGCATATTGCCAAGCCACGTACAGAGAACTTGTAACCAGCGAGAGAAGAAACATTTCTCAAACATGGGAACCATGTAGCGTAGTGATATCAACTCTGTCCACGATAACACCCAGTGTAATGGTTCTGAAAATACAGGTACACATTTCAATATATAGAGGATATTCAAGTTTTTTCTATAAATACATGATTTATTTTCATCGAGTGGTATGAAAATAAATATTTCATGAGTGGCAGTAGCCACGAGTGAAATATGAAAATTTTCATGCCACAAGATGAAAATAAATCATGTATTTATAGAAAAAACTTCAATTTTCTGTTTATTATATACATATTTCTTTTTTTTTTGTGATAAAATTTGAAAGACTTTCCCTTAAATTTTGTGTACTGGCAGAATTTAAAAGAAAGTAGTCCCGCAAGACACCAGTGAAAATACGGAAAATATGTTTCACTGCAGTGAAAAATAAATTTTTACAGTGAAAATACGGAAAATGAAAATACGCATTTTATTTCATCAATATTTCTCAATATTTCATTTGTAAGTATATAATAAAACAATATATCAAAGATTTAAGTTTTGAGGTACAAGGAATATACTTTTATCTTACAGAGTCATATCAATCAAGCATCACAGGAACGTCTTGTTTTTGTTGGATTACTTGTATTCATCTTTCACTTTGCTCCATCTCATCAATTTGTCTCAATATTCAATCATATTTTATTCATTCATGGACCTTGCTACACATTGACAGACCCTAATTATTTCATATTTGATTTTAGCCCTGCTAACTTTTAGTAAAAGAGAATCTAATTGGTTTGAATCATGTTCTTCTTCTCTTTATTTTTGGTAACTAAATGTTAACCAAACATTTATTTCAAGGATTTCTCTGAAAGTATCTGAGAGACTATAGAGAAGATATATTTTTCATTGGTTTTTGTTTTTTTTATACAATATATATGCTTCTTTTAAACATTTACCTAGAGTTTGTTGATGAGGGTTTATTGGGAATTCCTGTAGACACATCTCTAGTTTAGGTAAGATGTTTTTCCTTAGAAATACTTCCATATGACCATCTCTGAACACACCATGCCAGGGCTTCAATATAACCTTCGCTGAACTGTCTGAAGGATGCCAGTTAGTTAAAGCATTACCAAGCTTGTGTCTGATAGGTGCATACAGGGGCTCTAACTTATCTCCTGTAATATAGTGTACAGTACATGTAATTTATATAATAATAATTTAGGAAAATTACTTCAACATTATACTTGAAATTTCTTTGAAATGCATATTGATCTTTACACCTATTCCTACTGAAGGCATTACTTTTTATATTTTTATTAAAAGAAATGCAAGTATTATGTATTGATATTTTCAACATTTCTTAGAAAATAATACATAACTTTCTTTCAAAATATCAATTCTTAGAAATTCAAAATTTTAAGAAGTAATTATCTATCTTTTATTATCATTATCGTGATATGCTGTAACCCACAGATCCTTTACCTCCTCTCTAATTCTAATTATCAGATACATTTCTAATTTCACCACAACTTTTTTGTTAACAAAAGAGCACATGTTGATGTTTGTGGTTAAATCTATTGTTATTCAAATAAAATATCAGAGTAGGGATCTATCTGGTATGTATTTCTAAAGAAATGAGTCAAAGAGACAATTTTCTCCCAGACGTACTCATGAGAGGTAACCATGGATGTAACCAGGCATGTATTGGCATGGTGTCAGTGAGGGGATTCCAGTTCTCTACTTCCTGCATTAATCGTGGTAACACCAGCTGGTCTAGTATATTCTCCATCACCCACGTAGGTAACACAGGCATCCATGTTTCTAGCAACTCTATTACACCATCACACTGTCGACAATTCCACTTCCTGTTATATAAAACACAAATACTATTGCTTGTAACATGAACAGAAATTTGTCCATCAAATACAAATATATGTTCAATAAAATACAGCTTAAAATATGAAACAGTTTAATTTTTAATACTAAATAGTGTGAACCATAACTCTGAATTATTCCTCTAAATAACTTGAAAAATAGGGTTTAAATATTCCATGCAAAACTTCTAATGATTGATAGCCATGTATTTCCAAATTCTAACATAATATTTTAAAAATATAGCAAGAACTTTTAAATTTCAGTACAAACAAAGTAGACGTTACCCCATTTTGAGGAAATACATTCTACAACAACATCTTTGTCATATACTTATTCTATAATTCAACTTAATTATACTTTATATCATCTTTTTAAAGCTACTTTATAGATCTTCTGTGTTTTTTTTGTTTGTTTTTTTCAGAATTATCATTTTTATTGTGCAAAATGACCAACAATGAAAAACATTATATTGCTTTGAACTTGTATCAGACCAAGAATTACACAAAAGGTTAATTTGAGATTTGATTCCAAGTATTTTTTTTTTATCATATTTTGCTTTTTTTTCTGTTTTATGTGTCTAGGTTGACCTTTTAAGAATTTTAAATGTTTGTTATTTTTTGGCATATGGATCTCAGTGGAGTATGTTTAAGATACAAATTCATTCTTATTCTTTTATTTTTTTTTCTCTCTCTTTTTTTTTCATTTGACTTTCCAGCTTTATTGCTGGAGGAAGATCCTCCATTCTTTTATATCAGAATTATTGACCTTCCATGAACTACATGGAAAGCATCCAAATATCAAACAATCTAAAGTCTCTGATTTGATTCAACCCACAGTGGTAAGGGTATGAGTTTTAAAAGCAGCAACATTAACCATTCCTTTACAGAGCTTCACTTCCTATTTTGCCTTAACATACAGGCTAAATAATGCAGTGAAAATTATAACTTACAGAATAGCAGTTCTGACATTAGGTAGCCAAATATCCCAGATCAACCTCTGATAAACATCCATATTATTCTGGTCCTTGATATATACATGATTAGGATCTCCCAATATATACTGCCATTCTTTAATCACTGATAGTCCATACTGCTTGTCAACCAACGGGTTCCAATTCTTAAAGTGTTCCCTCATCTATAAATATATAATTCAAATACACATTACAATGAAAAAGTAGTATGTGTATTTTACTTGTCATACACAACAAACCAAACATAACTGTATCTTTAAAGTCATGTGATATAAAGAATAAAATAAAATTCCAACACTTCATGTTTAAAATGTTCAAGAAAAATTATTTGCATGGAATGATTTTGAAACTGCATGTAAGTATAAAATAATCTGCATCTTATAATGATAAAAGTAAATTTATATGAGCATTGCATATCTAATTCATAAATTTTCTTAAGACAGTTGTCAATTGAAGAAACTTAATAATAAAGGAAAACATGGATTGATAAATTTATTTTATCATATTTTACGACAAATATATAATTTACTTTAAAAAGTTAATACAGCTATATAGGATCTCATATGAGAATATTACAAGATATACAGGATCTCACATGTGTTCTTACATGATATATAGGATCTCACATGTGTTATTACATGATATATAGGCTCTCACATGTGTTATTACATGATATATAGGCTCTCACATGTGTTATTACATGATATATAGGATCTCACATATGTTATTACATGATATATAGGATCTCACATGTGTTATTACATGATATATAGGCTCTCACATGTGTTATAACATGATATATAGGATCTCACATGTGTTATTATATGATATATAGGATCTCACATGTGTTATTACATGATATATAGGATCTCGCGTGTTATTACATGATATATAGGATCTCACATGTGTTATTACATGATATATAGGCTCTCACATGTGTTATTATATGATATATAGGATCTCACATGTGTTATTACATGATATATAGGATCTCGCGTGTTATTACATGATATATATAATTATTACATAACAAGCCTCTCAAAAACTTTGAGATTATTTCAATCACATGGCTAACCGCACCAAAATTACTATACATCAAAAATAATTTTGTTTTGATATTTTACGTGCTCTTTTGTACACCAATGTTTAATTACACATGTGAAATAAATTAAATAAAGAAATATGTAATGGTTAAATTATATTGGGAAACAAATGAGGTCATGTGATAAAAGAGTATGAGAATATAATCAACTTACAATAGGGAACACTAGAGCTATAGCCAGTGTCTCCAACTCATACATCTTATATTCTGTGTAAAACTCATTCTGTAGTATCTTAAATATAGCCAAACATTCATCCAGGGTGACAGGGTTTGAACAACCAGGATTTGTCCTCTCATTACACCTGCAATATCCATCATATCAATATCACAATATTTTCACTGTATATAAACTGATGACTTCTCTAGCCATAAAAATGAATGTGTCAAGAACACAAAACTTTTTGTTTATTATTATTCATTCAAGTAATAATAATGACTAAATACAAGAAACATGTTCAATTTTTATTTTGTATTCATTAAGAATTCTTTGATAGATCCCTACATTGACCTTTTATTTGAATAACAATAGTTTTAATCACAAACATAGACAAGTCATGTGCTCTTTGTACATTGTATCCACTAATCTGATAATTAGAATTAGACAGGTCAGGAATCTATACATTGTCATCACCATGGAAACAATTTTATCAAATATATAAAGTAAGATATCTCAGGTTAAGGTTGTATCATAACTTACGTTCCAATGATCTCGAGAACTTTGGCAAGTCTCTCTATCTGTTTCTCTTCCTGTTCTAATACAGTATCCAGTCTCTCCTTCTCATACTTCATGTTTACAATGTGATCTTTATCATGTTTTAACCTGTAACATATATATATTCTTGTTGTAGTTTTAATATCATACTGACATTTATTTGTAGCCGTACTTTACAAGTATGATTTGTAAATGCCCCCCAAAAAAAAGGCAATTACTTTTGCTGATTTTGACAATAAACTTAAAATGTATGGTCTTATGTTTACTGGTGGAGGGAGACTTCAAGTTGTCATTTAGGTTTTTACTTCAGGTTCAAGAAGCCTCCTAGAATGAACCAGCTAACTTCTACCATGAGCTTGTTGGATAATTCTCATCATGAAAAAGGTTTTTAAGAGTGAAATACAATAAACAATTAAAATAAGACTTATAAAACTATGTATGTATATTTCAAACAAATCACATTTTTATTACATTGATCATGAAATCTTATAATGAGACAAGATAAGACTAACTTTCTATCATTTTGTACAATATCTTCCTCTGACATATCAACAAGTAAGGTAAGATTATGTGTAAGTTCTGGCATGCTGAATACAGTAGCTGATGATCTCTCCTGTACCACTGGTACCACATCATCATCCTCATCTGGTCGGTCATGACGATTTGCTATTGTATGGTATCCTGTTAAAATAATATAATATAAAAACCTTTAACATGGTATCCTTTTAAAATGATAAAATATATAATCTTGTAATGTGGTATCCTGTTAAAATAATATAATACAGAATCTTGTAACATGATATCCTGTTATAATAATATATAATCTTGTAACATGGTATCCTGTTATGATATATTATCTCATACCTTATAAAACATAACCAAATGAACTGTTACATTTTCCACATACCATCTTCAAATATAAATAACTTTTTTGATCCAACTTTATCATTTTAGCCTCATTTTCATGTTCTGAGTCCAAAAAGCCCATACCAAATCCATATTGTACAAATCCATATTGTACAGAATCTAGCCTAGTTTTCATTTTTGGAGTCCAAATTTTTTTTATCAATTTCATAATGTCCTCTGTCCAGCTTCATTTTTACAATAATTTTTTTTTTAAATGTTGGTGTGAAATCACATGTCATTACACTTTACTTAGAACAAAATGTATTCTATTTGACTCATACACAGCTGCAAAATCCATAAGAAACTTGGTTAGCAACTATTCCTATTTAAAGGCTCCACATCTTGTGTTCTCATCAAATAGAATCTGTTGTAAATATGCTAATGGTAAATGATATGGAGAAAATACCTCATGAACTATAATGTGACACTGTTTTACTATGAAAACATTTACAATGCTTCATAGAACATTGAGGAATGCCACACATACTATAATAAGTTGTAATTTCAATAGTTCATTATCTGAATGAAAAAGTTTTAACCACCATTATAGAATGCTACCTTTATTTTATACAAATGAAATATACTGTGAATTCACTTATATTCGTGGGCATGAAATTTCGTGGTTTTATCAAAACGGGCATTTTCGTGGGTTCTTAAATTCGTGGATTTTCATTTTCTTGTAAAAAAAAAAAAAAAAAAACCTAATGAAAAGTAATCTTAAAATTAACCGTCGCGCATTTTTACTTACCGCGTGATATCACACAGCGCTTGTCAATAATCTAATCCTTGCCTCTAGGCATAACATAAAGATAGCAGTTACTGCCGATAATTGACTGCAATTAACACATCTAGATGACATGATATGCAGCTCCATTGTACACACTGCCCCTGTGATTCGCCGATGTAAACATTGCATAATTTATACGACCCCTGACACGTTTTAACCAGCGAGTTTAAAAGTTTACACCTTGAATCGGTCTTACTATATTTGACAGTAACTACACGCAACATCACATCGACTGTGTAAATTTACAAATTTACATGCATATAAATTAATTAAAAAACTGAAAAAAAAAAAAAAAAAAAAAAAAAAAAACTGAAATATGAGTGAATAATACGAGATTGTCTGGATATATTAAGAAGTCCGCAGCGTCTTTGATGTTTACGTAATAGCAGTCGCACACAATTACAGATTAAAATTTAAACTGGATCATTTAAAGACGACAAAAGGATGTACAATTCATTCGTTTTAGTGATTGCTTATCTTTTTTGTGTACTTTACTTACGACATTAATATCAAAGATTTCTTTAATTCTATTAACAATTAATGAGAGCAAACTGACAATTTATATTAGCGCTAATTAGTGCACTGGTTTCCCATTTTTACTTGATTATGTCAAGTATTCTGGATAACACAATCAAGTAGCCTACAATTAAGCAGTCTCAGTGATGTGTATATACGACTGAAATTCAGGACATATAGTCGACTTTGCTTTCAATTTTCTTAAATATTGCAAACCTTAATTATTTATAGATTTAACCTGTCACTAACCTGGTTATCTGTATACCAACATAACACAATAATCGACGGAAAAGCGGCGACGCATGCATAGAACAGAGACATGATTAGAATTAATTGCTGGGATAAAAGTTTGTGGGATCTTAAATTCGTGGATTGACCTACCCACGAAAACCACGAAAATTCGTGCCCCACAAATAATAATGATTTTACAGTAGATAAATTATTATTTCTCACCTGTGAGAACTTTCTTCTCCTTGCCTGTCATATCAATGACCTTGACATTTGACATCTCACTTTTGAGTCCTTTCTTTTTACCAGTACCAGTATCAATGGCTTCCTGGGCTGTCTTGTATACATACTTCACCTTTTTCCTTTTACCCTGACACATTAATCATATATTAGTTCAATAATTCCTGCTAATGTACACAGACAACAAATCTCAAATCTACTACTGTTAAAATAAATTTAAAATCATTCAAATATAATTTTGAAATGTTGAATGGCAACATATTAGCTTTACTGATTGATAAAAATCCAAAGTCCGAATCTCAAACATTGCAAACATTCTAGGGTACATAGGAAGAGCCTTAGAACCTCTATAAGTTACCTGGACAGTTTTATCAAATTAAAATTTGTTATCAAAAAGAGAATAAAGGGAGAACAACAGTATTATATGTTCCTAAAAAAGAACACAAAAAAACAGCATTATAACATGCCTTAGTGTAAACAAAAGCGTAATAGTCTTAAGATTAACAGCACACAAAGGCAACTTGTACTGACTATAATTATATAACAACTATTTATTTGAATTTACAAAAACTTAAAAAAATCAGAAATAATTACCTCAGGTTCTTTTCTCCACTGTGATAATTGTTCTTTAAATTCCTTCTCCTCCTGGGCATCCTGGTCTTGTACAGGAAAATCTACCAGTGACCTATCTGACCTCTCTGAGCCATGAAATGCTATACCTGCCTTCTGACCTTTACGCTTTACTGCCTCCACTGGTGTGGTTATACCTTGTTTGTTCTTACCCAATCCTTTCCCTACCTCAAAACCCATCTAAAATTGACAAATAAATAAACTGTATACGCATACACTGAAATTTTGTAATTTTTTTTGTTAAAACCTTAAACTGCTGGAAATTTACTACCCTACTGTGGTCAACTTAATGTTCTATGTGACCAGTGCTAATCAATACTAGTCATCACATCCATACTGCCTGATGATGATCTGCAATGTTTGCTATTCATTACAACTTATTTCAAAGTTTTCCCTTAGAATAATGAATTGGTTTGCCCAGATTGAAAGAGAAACAATTCAATGTTAAATATTTAGCATGGTTAAGGTTAGAGTAAAGAAACTTTACCTTTTGCATGAGTTTCATTCCAAGCCCTTTGGTATGCTTCTCCCAGTTACCTATATCTCTGTAAAATAAATAAAACATACATGTTCCTTATATTTTTGCAACATTTCTAAATAAATGAATAAATACATTAAGACTTTCAAGTCAGTTTAACCACATCAGTTAAAAGTTATTTTTCACATGCTGGTATATTATTCATGTTATTCTATAAAGCATTGGTGTTGTTGATCAATTTTTTAAAAAGCAACAAAATTTATCAGTTGCAAAACAATTTTCTGCTTAGATTAAACTTACTTGTCATTGTAAGCTGTGCTGGTCACACCACGCCTGTAACCACCCTGGTCTTTGGTCTTCTTCTTTCCTTTATAACTAAGTCTGGCAATATCTCCAATATCAAAGTCAGCATCATGTGTATCATCATCTTCCTCCTCCTGTAATATAAACATCATATAACCACTTCCTGTAATATAACTATACTTTTTACATCAACAATAAATTAATAATACAATTATAATGTTATTCTTTTAATTTCTATAAACTCCAGTCATATTTATGACATTAGGCAAAGAGATGAGGTCTTTTGAAAACTTTACAGCTTTAAATGCATAGGGGAGCTTTAGTACCTATCTGGTATATGATAAACGCTTTCTCAGACAAAAAAAAAATCACACTTTTTAATTAAATCAGAGTGAAGAAAGGTCTTGTGTTTGAATGCAAGAATTTTACACTGGTAACTGATGAGTTACTTTTCAGACCCATAAACAATTACAAGAGTTTATTTTCCTTGCACACTGTCACAAAAACTACCAATAATGTTTTCATTAAGCATTATTTTCTTGTAGAAATGTATAAATTTACCATATCATTATAAATGGCAGTAGAATTATGTTATTAATAATTTTCAAATCCTTTTAAAACCTAAATTTTCTTTTATTCAATCACATACCTACTGGAAAAAAATACAAAAGTTCAAATACCTATCAAACCTTAATAATGTTTTAAATCTCTTTTGTTTTGAATTACAGAAATAATGATATCAGATCAAACTGTCAGCAAATCTTAAATTTGTGAAATATCTGTAAAGTCAAAAATTAAGCTAGCATGTAACTATTATCATAATTTACCTCCTCTCCTTGTTTGAAAGTTTTATCTCCCTGTTTGATTCCTCCACTAACAAATCCTATAGGGGCAGTAAAATCAGATTTTTTCTTTCCTCCACCAAACCCTGGCCTCTCATCATCACTGTCATTATCTGCCCACATTCCTGTAATAGTTCACTTTAATGTTATAAAAATCTTTCTCAACAGCGTTCCAATTTTAGGAGGTAATTCAAGAAGTTGTGTGTTACTTATATTATTGTTTAAAAATCATGTAATTATTGTCAAGTTAATAACAAAATGAATATTACCATAAGTGGCTTGATTCTTGGTCTGTCTGCGTCCTTGGCGTATATTGAATGAACTGTACACATCATCATCTGTAATCTCAAACTTTTCAACCTCTGGTGATGACATATTTACTGTTTACAGATGTGTACTGTAAATATATAAAACAGAATGTGTTTAACTAAAACTTTAACATCAGTAAAACTGTTTAATCATAGGTGTGAAAATATTTCAATCATGATGTAAACTGTTGTACAGTGATTACTGGAAATAGCCCCTCAAAACATGAAAGTAAAAAGTTCATCCGAGGTAATGTTTCAACTTACTCCATCATAATCAATTTTTCCAAACTAAACAAATTTTGTGAAGCTTATGGTTTTAGAGAAGTATTTGCTTTTTTCTGCAAATTGAATACTTTTTGTTGATTTGGCGATAAATTGTAGCGTATTTATTGACATTTGCAACTCGACAGCGAGCTTGACGAGCTTTACGGTAACGCGAGTACCTGCTAAGTGATGGTTTTGAAAACTTTCGTCTGAAGTACCGAATTGGACACATTGCAACTTTTCGAATTACAAGATAACAATAAAAGACGCTGTACTCTGATTGAAAACAGAAGCGTAGACTGGTGTCCTTCGCACTTATAAAGGAACCATAATAGAAAGGAGGAACCAAAATAAACGGAAGCAGGGTATAAACGAATGAGAATTTTAAAACGGAAAATATAAAATAAAAATGAACGATTGTTTTAAACTATCTTACGGTAAAAGGAAATTGAGCACGCTTTGATGCTTTGCCTTTTTCATATTATTAACCACTAAATCAAGCTAAAAACACATTTTTGTATCAAAATCTTTCTTTAATACAAAATATAAACTTCCCTCTACCTGTCGGTAGCAAGACACTTCACCCTCCAGACACTTCACCCCTCAAATTTTGAAGACACTTCACCCCTTAAGACACTTCACCCCCCCCCCCCCCAAATCAGTAAGACACTTCACCCCTCATCCAAAAATGAGGGGTGGACTGTCTGAGGGGTGAAGTGTCTGCAAAAATGGGCCTAGGGTAAAGTGTCTGGGGGGTGAAGTGTCGGTAAGCCTACCTGTCTACTTGTATTCGAGAGGTATGAATAGGCAGGGTATTCCAAAAACAAACAATTGAAACTTTTCAGATTAATTATGATCATCAAGTGTTACAAGTGAAAATGGAACCGGTGCATGAAATATCGAATGACACTTTTAACACTGTTTAAAACAGAAAAATGAATGATATTTTAACAGGGCTCAAGCTAGGTTCAAAATTTAGGGAGAAGTCACTTCTCCCTCCAGCTGCTTTAGGGAGAAGTGGGGAGACTTTAGGTAGAAGTGAGGAGATTCATTTATCGATGTTTGTTGTATGTTATCGCAATTATGTTGACTCATTGTACAGGGCTCTCAGTAGGGTCAGAATTTCATGAGTCAAAGACTCTTTGGCCAAAATTTTCATGAGTCAAATAATTTTTTTCTAGTGTCAATTGACTACATGAATCATTTTTCTGTTACAAAAAATACTGTATTGGAGGTCATTTTGTGTAGATTCTCAAGTCGAAATTGATAATATTTAACATTGAAAAAATGCTTAGTTATAATGTATATTCCCCCCCCCCCCCCCCCAAAAAACAAAAAACAAAAAAAAACAACAAAAAAATGAATTGCATCTTACTGTGAAAGAATAAATTAAGCAGCAGCTTTTCTGATTAAAAGTTTAAAATATAAAAAAATATCTTTACTGGTGTGCTATATATCATATTAATTTTAAATACCAAAATGCACTAGGAATATTTAATGGAAATAACAAATGTACAGGCACTCCAAGTAAATCAAAGACGTATCATAAACCTTAAAAGCAATCAATAATTGACACCTCAAGTATGTAATTCTTATCAGTTGTGTAGAGCTATTTTTAGCGCTGTCAAATTGCATCCACTGATGTCACGCTTCAGTGCACAGGCTATAAACAATGCTGTGTATTACACACGGTGACATTTTTTTGAGTGTGATTTGAACATATGTAGGATTTGATAAGTAATAAGGAGTAGATTTAAGGTAATTATTATTGCATAGCTGAAAATCCCACGTGGCAAATTGACTCTTGTGCAGATTTTATCACGTGTCAAATTTGTGCATTTCCTGATTTTCACGAGTCAAAACCCGGATCCCCGTGTCAATTGAGAGCCCTGCATTGTACATATATTATTAAATGAATTGGATTTGTGTTACAACAGAATATTCAATTTTAATTTAAAAGTAGTTTGAAACAAGTAATAAGAATAAGTATCATGTAATGCAACCATTGCATTAAATGAAGATAAAAAAGCCATAGTTGATTCCTATCATGGATCATATCATGGGTGGATTAACAGTTATTCGCTTCTGATTTACTATTATAAATGCTTGCGCCGGACATTATATTCATATTCACTTATGTTGTAAAGTAAATGAAAGTAGATAACGCAGGAAACGATCTTTAATTTAACTTCATTTGTAATAAATACAGTGTAATACACCGTCAATTTTATCAAATTTAACTCGTCGACAAAAAAGGTTATCAAACTTTCATTTCAAATTACCGTTACAGTTATATGTCGAGCAGTCCTCTTAATTCTGACAATCATTTGATAGTGAAAGTTTAATTGACGTTTGATCCGTCCATCATAAATAATTGTTACGGGTAGTTGTATGTTAGCGATTTAATGATTGGTTTAATAATGTCGCCACAATTAAAACGTGAATAACGATTGGTTTCTCGCACGTATCGGTAATCTCGCCGTGGGCGGAGTCTAATTGTTCCTCGAGCGTATGTTAATTAGACTTTTTATGACATGTTGGTAAACAAATGGATTAATGACATTTCGCGTTGATTGAGATGCATGACAGTCCCTTTTTCCGGCGGCGAGGGTAAACAAAGCAAACACACACAACATGTTATTCTTGTCGGTAATTTTCAATTATGGATCAATAAAATCGGGCGACTTCATCTTCGCTTTCATGTAGGATTTCGGCGAAGTCAGACGGAATTCGGCGACTATTTCGCCCGAATCGCCCACTAGCTCGAGCCCTGTTTAACCTAATTACCCATTCATTACTCTGTTATAATAATTTAATACAGGGAAGTCAAAGGCCGTGACCGCTAAGCGGGCCCGGGTTTTGGCTTGCCCGGCTATAGACTACACGTGTATATTTAAAAGGAAATCAAATAAAAATCAATTAAAAAATAAATAGAATTCTATACCTATCAATGAAATTTTCAGTGTTACATTTTGGGGCAGAGTTGACCTGGGGCCGGGTTGACTTGTACCGACCTTATTCACTCGGCATATTATCAGTAACGAGACCAACATTCAGTAGTCGAGAAAGTTTGTCAAAAAGATGTGTTTTAAATCCATAGCCATCATAGTTTAGAATTACCCGACGGCCGTACGGATATCGTACATCTAAACGCGTCTTTTTGTTTTTGTCGCGAAAACATATTACAATTTAAGCAAAACTGTGCTATGATATCCTAAATTAGTAATTATAAAAGATAAACGATAAATAAACAATCTTTACAATTTAAAATAGTAAAATTTGAAGTCAAATTACAATTTTAAGTCTCTAAACTAATGTTTCTTTAATCAAATTTCTTTTTCATTGCCTCTTTTACAAGAGTAGCGTCCCTTACAAATCACTTACAATGGAACCAAAAGAATTCTTTGAAGAGAAAATATATATTTCAATGTAAAGTTGGGAACTTCGGTAATCCACGAATCGATGTCTTGATGGCGTTAATAGTTGGAGAACAGTTTGTTAAAAGGAAATTATGTTAGATAGATTTCCAGTCTCTCAGAGAATAATCAGAGACTGGGACTGTCTAAAATACAGAAAATCAGAATAACTGACGAAAGTCCAAAACGGCAAAATTGAAATGTTGCAGGCTCGGTTTGATTGAGCCTGTTCATGGACGGTACTGTTAAGTGCAAACTACCGTCCACGCCCCCTAATACCGGCTTAAGCAGCATTTAACATATAACATAAATTCACAATTTTTTAATTGAAAACAGGTTTTAATTCTAAGTGACTCTAAAATAATCCAGCTCACCAATGTCCAGCAGGATAATTATACGGTTTTATTATAAAGCAGTTCAAAGCATATGGCCTGAGAACAGATTTGCATTTATGAGTAAAACATTGATTGTTAAGTTTGTATTCAAGTTTTTTTCAGAATCCCCACTGAATCTTTTGGTCATTTTTTTTTATTTTGTATTCAAGTTTGAACTTAATTGTGAAAACTCATTTGTCTTTATGTATAAACATATATTTCTCAAAATATGATAAACAAGATCAGCAAGGAAAGGCGGCGTTCAATAAACGCAACCCAAGTTTGATTTAAGAAAAAACAAACAAACAAAAAAAACACACACACACACAAATAAACACAACTTGTGACAAGCTGCTTTAAAACTGCATATTCTGCCGGAAGAAAGTACTTCTAATCCTTTGTCTTATTTTCATTGCTTATTATTTGAAATTTATTCTTCCTTGTGTACTTTAACGTGGATTTTCGTGTGGACGGAAGCTTGCAATTACCACTACCGTCCATGAACAGGCTCAATTAAACCAAGCCTGCAACATTTTAATTTTGCCGTTTTGGGAGATCTGTAGGGATCCCGTTTTTCTCAATTGTAATAGTATATAACACTGCCTGCATCAGAATTTGTTTAAAGGCTAGTCAGTGTTCATTTAACTGATAAGATGCTTTGTAGACGATATTGAAAAACTTTCTTACATAATTGGTCCTGTGAAAGATGGTTATTCACAAATTCTTTGCAAATTCAAGGCATGGAAAACTAAACATCATGTG